ACTACCTTATGAGTCCAAAAAGGACAGCACATTGCACATGTTCATTAATAGTTGTGCTATCAATAAGATCCTTATCAAATATTATTTTCTGATTCATATGGCCAAGCAAATTTTTACAAGTGTTTTATAAAATAATTCAGTGTGAGCTTACCACCGATATGAAATGCCTCAAAAAGTAACATAGAAGCACCGATATAAAATGTCTAAGGTCAGCTATTCAGCTCCCGTTGTTACAATTCTCTGCTTTGAAAAGTTTTTCTAAGGTTTTGTTTGGGATGATTTTTTTTTTTTTTTTACTTTTTAAAACAGCATTTTAACATAAAAATTAAAATTTTTGTGATAGAAAGCTGCTTTAAGAAGCAGTAAGAAAGTCATCCCAAATGAAGCTTAAGTTATTTGATGCTTCAGCCATAGACATAGAAGCCATTCTCACTCAAGATGGCCAACCCATCAAGTTTTTCAGTGAAAAAACTGAGTATTCTAAGATAAAAATGGTTTTAGTAGGCAAGCCAACCTTCTCGTCATCTTAGAGACTGAAATCACAGGGATGGATGAACTTCAGCACTTACATTCTTCTGATTCAAATTGCATTGTATCCTAAAGCAATTCTGTCGAATGGATCTCTCATACATGAATGACTATTCTATGCAGCTGAGGTTTCCTTTTAAGGGAAACCAATAGTGTTCTTCAAACACTTCTTTGATCCACTAATTAATCTATGATAAATCATAGTAGAGAACTAGTTGCACATGCCAGGTGAGAAAATCTTCGCACTATTGCAAGCCCTTCCTTTTAGCCATAATTAAGATTTAAGTTGTTCTACTTGCTGAATTTGGTTTCGTTTGGAAGAAATTTTTTAATTTTTTCTAACATAATTTTCTAGTATATATTTTTTGGATTAAAATTTTTTAATAAAAAACTGTTTTAAAAAACAGAAAAAAAAAAACTATCTTAAGCCAAGCCTTAAATATCTCACCAACATTTAATGTTGCTAATCATTATTATTATCACCTACCAAATGAAAGTGATGTGAAGATAAAATTGGGTTCTTCTGAAACCGAAGAGAATCTTAAATTAAATTATGTGAGCAGTTTATTTGAGATTAGCATAAGAAGTCGATAAGGAAATCTTCTAAAGCAAATTCTGAACCTCCTTCCTGTGAATTCTGCACATGCCAAGTTTCATTTGAGCTACCAATATGGTGAAAGAAATGCCTCTGTTATTAACCTGTTGTGGCTAAATGCTTTCTAAAGGACTTATCCATTCTTTCTTACTAAATCAAATTAATTAGTAATTATTCTTATTTGATGGTGCAACCTGAATATTTAGTGCTTCGATCCTTATTCTATGAAGTTCAAGAGGATGATAACTCTTAAAAAATCAATTTTATGGTTTAGCCGTGTGCATTGAGTAAGGAGCATTTCAATTATAATATCATTAATGGCATATCTTAAAACTTAGTTTCTATGTTGCTTCATGATCTGAAATATCTATTCCAATTCTAGAGATAATGCTTGAATAAATTATTATTAAAAAACTGTTTTTATTTTACTCTGGATCTACCAAACCAAACAAGGGAAACAATTCTCCTGCGTTTATTTTGCAGACAATCAAACAAATACAAAGTATTCAGAATGCACTACATTTACTTTACACTGCATTTCCTTTTCAGGCAACCAAACAGCTCCTAACTCCACTGATAGAGCAATCCGAACCACCTGTTGTTATTCATGTTTCAATTCTCAAAAAATTAGCGGAGTTTGCACAGCATAAGTGGTGTCTACTCGAGAGCTACAAAGAATTGCTACTTTTGACCTTATTTTTCGCACTTGGGCCCTCAAAAGTGCGTATTCTCCATCAATTGAGCAAAATTTGAACCTAAGTGGACACGATCATGCTCGATCAATTGAACCATATTGAACTTAATTTGAGCCAGATTGGTGACGATTTGGATTTAATTTTGCAAAATTTTATTTAATTGAACTAAACTAAATACGAATCGACTCAAATTGACCCAAACGAGTCTAATTGATTTAAGTTAAAGGCTAACTGACTTTTTCTTGTAGATCAGGAAATTGATCTAACGGCTGAAATTTAAAACCTTCACCATTGCTTTCTCATATCCACCATCTGATTTATTCAGTTGCATCAGAGATTTGGCGGCAGAACGAAATCAAATCACAGGTTCTTACTTCCTTATTAGGCAAGCGGCTCTTACGATGGACTGGACCTACGCCGAAGACCTATCGCAGCTTTCCTTCTTCCTCCAGATCGAAAGAAAGGAGCCCGCGAGAGGTCTCTCCTCGACTTCCTCGATTAGAGATTCGGAAGAAGCTTGGATCGGGGCAGTTAAGTTTTTTTCTCGCACTTGCTTTTCTTTTCCTACTCCCTCTTCTTCCTTCTTCTTATTCTTCTTTACCCCTTCTTCTTCTCCTTACGAACTTTGTTTTTCTTCTAATCTTCCTTCCCGTTCCTCTTTTCCCATCTCTTCTTCTCTTCTTGGTTTGGAAAGATTTAGCAAGATTGTTTGTCCCTTCAAGAGTACTGATGACAAATGGTTGATTCTTTTATCAAATCATTTCCTAAGATGTTATTTCTTATATAATTTAGCTTTCACATATGCTTGGTCTCTTTCTTTAAATAAATACCTTTGCTTTGGATGAATTATTTCATGAGATGAATAGAAAGCTTATGTTAGTTTATATCGTTTGGTAATAAACATTTGATATGTGATATTTGTTTATGCGTAGGTTGTAAACTTTGAGAAGGTGTGGCATTCCCTATAAAACAAAAGAAAGAATGCATGTAAGGTGCTTGAGTTAATTCTTGTTAAGAAGTAATGAAAGTTTTCTTTATAAATAATGATAATAAATGTGGCAATCAAATGTAGTTTCATTTGCTTCTCAACCAAGCATTTCATTATCCACTATATATCTATTATCTCCATGAATATTTTTCTTTAAATACCTTGCTTTAGGGAGCTTACACTTCATTGATTCTTTATAGTTAACCGAGCTCGTTGTTTAATTCACAAGTATATGATATTGTTGGTATACATCTTATAGTTTCAAAATTAATATTGAATCATTCGGAGGAAGCTTTTGAGTTGAGATACATGTATATTTATTTCGTCGGTTAAGAAAACCAACCATTGTAAATCTCTCCAAGAATTTCATTGCAATATTTTTGATCGCATGTATGGTGGGACATAACACATTCGAGTAGACTTATGCTTAGTTGATCAAATGTAATTTTATTTATATGATGTCGAATTAATTAGTTTATGAGAATGCTTTGATAGAACTTCGTTTTTTTTGGCAATGGCATGATAACTTGGAGGTAACTTATAATTTCTTAATAACTATGGTTATTACCATTTTAAATATTTAGACATAATGTTATGTAAAACCAAAGTTTAGATATTGCAAGTTAGGCCTTTTCTTTCTTTATCTAAAAATTTTTTGACCAAATGGTCATATGTGCCTCCTGCCAAAACATGACTTCATTAAAATTATATGTTTTCTTGTGCAAGTTGTGGAGATTGGTAAAGTGGTTTTGTCAAGATTAAATTGACATCTTCGAGATTTAAGAACTCCAAACAAAGGGGGATTATTGGGTTCGGACACAGCTTACGTTCGGTATTCACAGTATCCATTGTCCACACAAAACAATTTTTTCTCTTGATGAGCTAATGAGTCAGGCTCAATTTAGACATGTTAACTCGAGGGTTCATTTATTTAAGAAAAATTGTTATAAAATATTTTTAAAATTTATTAAAATTTGAATCTTTTTTATTCTTATATTAGGTGATTCATCTTTGTTAATTTTTTAAAGTTTATTTTAATAAAAATTTGAATTATGATTATTATTATTTGTTATAAATAAGTTTGATTGTGAGCTTGTTCGAAGGATTATGATTCAAGCTCGAGTTAATTAAGATCAATTTACTCTTGCTTAAGTTCGGCTTGATTTATTTAGATCCCTATAAGAAAATTGAGCGTGTAAGAATGTGATTTCTTCAATAAGTATGTAATATGGCAATGTCATTAATGATAAGTTTACAATCTTCCAAGGACTGAGAGGCTAGATATTGGTCTTGATTGTATGTTTAGTGTATTCATGAGGAGTGAGATCCTCTGATCTCACATAAGATGCCTTATTAAAAGCAGGGGCCTAAAGCTATTCTTAATGAGGCATAAGATTTCGTTTGAGACTTTTTTTTTTAATTGCTTTGTAAAGTAATTTTTTAATACAAGAGTTTTTAATTTGAGAAAATTTTAAATTAGAAAGTTGTCTTAAGGCTTCATTCGTGATTGCTTTTGTAAAATAATTTTTTGATATAAATATTTTTTGAATTAGAAATTTTTTATTTAAAAATTATTTTACAAAACAGTTACAAAATAGTCTCAAATGAAGCCTTGGGCCTCTCTTATATCAAATAATCATAATCAGTTGATGCCAAATTACAATTACATTCAATAATTTGGATTCAGGTTTTGATTGAGATAATTTTAATATTGATTTTATTGGTTTTTAAGAGATTTTTTAATTAAAAATCAGCTTTGCAAAATAGTTTTGGCATGGCTTTTTTACTGCTTCTTAAAACAGCTTTTTAGTATAAAAATTTTAATTTTTGAATTAGAAAGTTGTTTTAAGAAGCAGTAAGAAAGTCATCCCCAACGAAGCCTAAATATCCTTAATTTGCATTTTCTAATTGATTACTTGTAAATCACGAAAGCAGAATAAATTCAAAACTTTTAAATAAAAAATAATAATTCAACCTAATTTTCATAAAATAACAACTAATTTTGCCCTAATTCTTTCTTTTGAAATTACTGCTAACTATTCTTAGGAAATTATAATATATATTTTTGAGAAACAATAATAATATTATTCACTTAAAAAATATAAAATTTCAAGTATAAAACTAGCATAAATTACTTTTATTTATAAAAGAAATAAATTATTATTTTTGTGAGAAAATAAAATAATTTTCCCTTTTCAAATAAGCACGAAACTATAGGAAAATTTACACAGCTCCCTAAAATAATAATTCCGCCGCTCTCTGCCACGGCTGCGACGAGAGAACTGCGAGACCGGCGGGCTTTAAAAAAGCATTCAAATTCCAGGTTTCAACGCTCCTTCCGCCCCCTTCTTCTCTCTCATCTACAGTTCTGAGCTCTGACACACCATTTTTTCTCCGAATAACGCTTTCAAAGCCCTAATTCGTCCTGCTTCTAGCCGGAAATTAATCCACTAATCTCTCTCCTCCGCTCGCTGCTATGAGCGGAGCTCCTCCTTCCGGTAGTGGGAGGGAACTCGCTAACCCTCCCACCGACGGCATCTCGAATCTCCGCTTCTCAAATCACAGTGACCACCTCCTCGTTTCGTCCTGGGACAAGGTAATTTCTTCTTGCTTTTGTACAAAGCCTGATTGCGAAATGCCTCGGGATGGTGGTTTTAGGGTTTTTCTCTTTCTGAGCAGAGTGTTCGTCTCTACGATGCAAGTGCGAACGTGCTCAAGGGCGAGTTCATGCACGGCGGCCCCGTTCTTGACTGCTGCTTCCACGATGATTCCTCTGGTTTCAGTGCGAGTGCGGATTTCACTGTCCGGAGGTAAGAGGGGTTCAGGGGATGTTCTAGTCGAGCATGCCGGCTCTTATCAATCTGTATATCATTGTATTTTGGGGTTTAGGTTTCTTTGTCCGTGTCAATGATATAGGACATTTTAATATTCTTAACATGTTTCTTGTTGACTTATCTAAACGAAATTTCTTCAAGTTGTAATGCTGTTTATGTTTTTGTTGAAATGGCTGACCGAGCCTCAAAACTTTGCTGCTGTGTTCCTATTTCACCAAGTAGTGCTAATTTCTTATCTATAGCTGGGTTGTAAGTGTGCCCGTTAGATTTTTTTTCTTATTTTTAATGTTTGGATTAGTTCACGGGCAGGATATTGGTATCCTATTTAGTTTTTTTTTTTTTTGCAAAAGTGGGTCTAACGAATCAGTTTCTTTTTCATTTTTTCACTATTGATTTTGTCCCAGATTTTTTCCTGCATCTCTTAAAAAATTTGATGCTTAAAAATTTGAATTTTGTCACTACCACTTAGAAGAATTAAACAAAGGCCTTTTTCTAATAATTCTTTCCTTATAAAATAGGTATGTCTTTAGCTCAGGCAAAGAGGATATTTTGGGACGGCATGTTGCTCCAGTACGTTGTGTTGAATACTCCTATGCTGCAGGTTGGTGGCTGCATTTCTTTTTGTATCCATGTAATACTCATAGTTATTCTATTCGTAGCTTTTTGTCTTCCAAAATTTTCCAAAATGCAAAACTTCATAAGTCATGCACAATATAATATTTCTTGTTTTCTCATCACTCATTCAACATTTTCATTTTCCTATTTCAGTGACACTGTAATTATTTAATCAATTTTGCAACTGTTCATGGATTAATTTTGTTTCCTCGTATAGATGTTTGGCTATGTAACTTTTTTTTGTTTCATCCATTCCGACCAAGAATTTCTTTTATTTAATTGGAAATTGGCATCAAATTTTGTTCTTTTCTGAAGACATTCACACTAATCTGGCTCTAGATTTTATTTTGCATTGATATGTGTACATATACTCTGCTTCATACCAGCTCAGTTTATCAGGTTGATCACATCTATGTTTGGTATCATTGCCGTAAATAAAGATATTCAATGTTGTTGCATGCAAGGACATAGGATCGATAGACGTTAGTAAGGCTTTTCGGGAATGTTATGATACAAATTTATTCTTTTCATCTGCTTTATTTTTTTTCTACTTTGTATATTGTTAATGTCAAGTTGAAGTATTGCCTGAATTTTAGAATGCCCAGTTATGCACAGTTTTATTTCCATCATGCATTTTTATATACAAATTCATTAATGTATCAGGTCAGGTTGTTACTGGCAGTTGGGACAAAACATTGAAATGCTGGGATCCCGGAGGTGCAAATGGGCCAGAACACACTCTTGTTGGAACATACCCACAACCTGAACGGGTGTATTCTCTTTCTTTAGTTGGCCATCGCCTTGTAGTAGCAACTGCAGGGAGACATGTAAACGTCTATGATTTAAGAAATATGTCTCAACCTGAACAGCGAAGAGAGTCATCCTTGAAATGTCAAACTAAATGTGTGCGATGCTATCCTAATGGTACAGGTAAAGTTCTTTCTATGATTAGATTTCTTGGCATAATCAGCTTGTAGCTTAGGAACATTATGTGCTTTACCTAAGATAGATGCTTAACCTTAACCTAAGTAATGTTTAATGACCTAAGATTATGTTTTCTAATGCAACTATTATGATACTTATGATGCTTTATAGAGAATTCACCGATAAAAGTTACCAATTACATCAACAACTCATTTTCTTTATTTGAAAATAAGTGATAGAGGAGTTTAAATATAATTGGCATTAAAATGCCTGTAAATATCGATAATTTCTGCAAAAAACTTTGGAACAAATGAAATCAATGAGCAAGGAAATTAGTTTTCACAAAATTAGACTTTCTGACCAAAATCAAATCATTAAATAAACAATAACAAATTCTGGAAAAGAAATGGATAAGAAAGAATTTTCTTATGTAAAGAAAAATTAAGCCCCTTGCAAGTATAAGGAGATGATTTCTCCTGTAATTACGTAGTTGCTTTTTTATTACATTCAAAGGATCTTTATGAATAACTAACACTTGTTAGATCGGACTGAAGCATATAAATTTTATTCTAGCAAAAAATTCCCAATTACATGCAGCTGACCATTACTTATAAACTCTTCATAACCTGAGCTAGTAGATATATTAACCCAAGATCAATTTCAATTGAAATTTAAATTTGTTTCACTGAATAAATATATTATCAACTTGATTTAAAATCTCCAAACAAAGCCAAGTCAACACTTCCATGCAAGCTGCCGAACTATGCCATTGGAAAAGAATTTAATTATATTTGTTTATTGATTCGCATGTGTAGATCAGGGAAATCAAAATTGTGTTTGATATGCCACTGATAATTCAATTCCTAATATGCTAATAGTGAGTCTTGCCCCTTAGCTTAAGCTTTTGGATTGAGGGGTGTTTATTTATCCCTTAGTTTAAGCTGTTGGACTCAGCTTAGGTTCTTGATGTTCCACCCTGTAGAAATTTAGAAGTAATCTGCATTTAATATCCATCTATGTTCTTTTTTACATTTAAATTTTGTGCTGGCATACAAAATCTTACTTCTGAGGTATTATGCTCTCTATCCTGCTACCTTATTCAGGTTTTGCTCTTAGTTCCGTGGAGGGTCGAGTTGCTATGGAATTCTTTGACTTGTCTGAGGCAAGCCAATCTAAGAAGTATGGTTACCTTCTTAATCTATTTCAAGCGGTGGCAGTTTTAACCTTGTATGTATATTTGTATTTCAAGCGGTGTTTATGCATCTTGCTATTGCATTCCATCCCATGTAACCTCTTCATCTGCCCTTCTTTGAATAATACTTCTACAATGTTCAAAGGCCGAACTGGTTGTCCATTAACTTCTTTGTTTTTCTTGCAGATATGGGACCTTTGCCACTGGAGGTTGTGATGGTTATGTCAATGTCTGGGATGGAAACCACAAGAAGAGGCTATATCAGGTAATTTATAGCCCAAGTGCTCCTAGAAACTAATCTTAACTGTTGTAACAACAGCCTATTGTTCTTATGTCTTTTTTCAGTACTCGAAGTACCCAAGTAGCATAGCAGCATTATCCTTTAGCAAAGATGGTCGTCTGTTGGCCGTTGCATCTAGTTACACTTTTGAAGAGGGAGATATACCGTAAGCTAAGAAATTATGATCATGATTTCTAATTTAATCTCTCATAATTTGCACCATGGAGTTTAACACTATACTTTTAATATCTATAGTCACGAACAAGATGCTATCTATCTTCGGAATATTAATGAAGTTGAAGTCAGGCCAAAGCCTAAAGCAATTCATGCTGCTGCTCCCCTATAATTGAACACTCGTGAGAAGAAAAGGTCAGCGACTGGTGGAATTTCTTATTTTTAGATGTTTAGCTTCTTTTTCAATTGCTTTGAAGCACCTTTTTATGGAATTAACCAATTTTAGTTTCTGAAAGTTAATGGAGAGTGGAACACGGGGTATATTAATTTTAGTTGGATATGGTAGTTTCTATACAATTAACCTGCACAAACTGTTTTGTGGATTAAATGGTTCAAACGTTTTGAAGATTCAACATTTATAGTTTAAGGATTTGCTATTTGGTATGTTTTCTTTCAATTCTTATATATTTTAGTGGAATCTACAATTACACAATCTATCATTCGTCAATTTAATATCAAAACAACAATTCAATTACTATTGCACTTTGTTTCAGTAATTTCCTATTATTTTGTTAGTATTTTCATTAAATTTCTATAGTTTTTCAGTTGCTACATTTTGGTCCTAAAATTTTCTTCCCTCTTGCACCTTTCATTAAATTTCTTAGTTTCAGTAATTTCTCTTCAATGTAGTTTTCATGAACTCTCTCTCTTTAATCTTCCATGAAGCAATATACATCAATATGCCTTTTTGTACAATCTCTCTCTACTTTCCCTATCCCCTCTTTTCTCCCGTTTCCACTTAATCTTTTAAATTTCTCTATTATCTCTTTAAATTTCTCAACCAATCCATTTATTTTGAAACTAAACTTATATTTCATATTTAATTCAAATATTCAACCCTTTTCCTAAAATTCCTCATAAAAGTAGTCAATTCCATCCAATTCAATCCTAATTAAACCCTCCTAATCGAATCTCATCTAAAAGCTTAAATTTGCTAATGATGTGAAACATAATGCATGGAAACAAGAATAACAAAGAGAAAGGAAAAAAAGAAAATGAATAGGGAGATAAAAGAAGGACAATTAAGGTTTTTTTCCTTTAAAATTGTTTATATTGAAGATATGATAACTGATAGAAATATGATCTTTACACAACCAAAAAACAATAATAACAAAGAGAAAACACAGCATAAATTAGTGAGATTGAAATTATGAGCTTATTTTATTGATATCAACACAACAAACCAAGATAAATGTTAATCTACTATTCGAGCGGTAGATTGACTCTCCACAAATCCTAGACATCACTAGAAACAGCTCCAAAGAAAATTATTGCAAAACACAAAATCGCATAACGAAAATAAAACAACATAATTAATCCTATATAAACCTTCCTAACTCCATCCCATATCTGAATTCAAATCAGTTCACTTTCCCTAAATAAAACTTCCTAATTCTCTCTCAAATCTGAATCCAAATCAACCCCATTTCTCTAAATAAACCTTTCTAATTCCCTTCTAATTTTGGTTATAATAGGGTTTAGGGTTTAAGAGAAGGCACAATAATTGTAATCTTAGGGTCATAAGAGTATCGATCTAATTATTAGAACCTTTAATCATTGTGCTCAAAGATTTTTACTAAGATTGGTTAACTTGTGGGTCCCATGATATTAAAAGTATATTTTTTTCTTGTAATAAAGTATGCAGATTATTAGTTGATTTAGTTTGATATAGTAATGTGCTTCTTGCTTATCCCTTTCTTTATAGCGTATATTATTGTATTATTTTTGTATACTTTTCCTAGTTTCCTTCGTGGGCCTATTGTTATCCCTTATCTATTTTTACAGGCAGGCTCGGAAGTCCATGTGCATTGGAAGGGAGCAGGTGAGGTTGTCCTAGCTTGCTGCACAAGCTGGTTGGATTCAAATGGTGCGCAACAGAAAAAATGGATTCAATATTTTGGATATGAAACAATTGTTTCATCAGCTCTCTTGGATTCAGTATTTTGTATAGTAGGTCGTACATCATAAAAAACTTGAATGTTTCCTTCCAATTCTTGTTAAACAGAAAAAGTTCAATAAAAAATATGTGAATTACTAAAAAACATAAAATATATGTAAAAAAATACTAAAATTGTATCATGTAACTTTTTCCTCACATTCTTAGTTTCAATAAGTTGATTCATTTAAAATTTAAAAGACAACATAAAATCAGTTATACATATGAGATATATGAAAAAGTTTTGTTAGAACATCAAATCTTGAGCTTTTCATTTAAATCTTTCAATATAAAATTTAAATTTTTTATTTGGTCTTCTAAACTTTCGATTTTTTCTCTTTGTGAAAAACGTTTCTCTTGATAAAGATTAGTAAGAAAATAAAATGACAAAAGAAATTAAAGTGCTCCAAATAAATAACAAATAAAATCTCATACGCGTAAGTCAATTTTATAACCGCGGTCATTTTCTGATTGATCATTTTAATAAATTCTTCATCATGCACCGTCACTTGTTGCAATTCACTTTCTACTTCTTACAAAAAGGAAAGAAATAGAAAGTGAATTGCAACAAGCCTGAGTGCATGTTGAAGAATTTATTAAAATAATCAATCAGAAAATGACCGCGGTTATAAAATTAGCTTATGCGTATGAGATTTTATTTTTTATTTATTTGGAGCACTTTAATTTTCTTTTGACATTTTATTTTCTTATATTTTTTAATACTAATCTTTATCAGGAGAAATATTTTTCTCAGAGAGAAAATATTGAAAGTTTAGAAGATCAAGTAAAAAATTTAAAATCTCTGTTGAAAGATTCAAATGAAAAGCTCAAGGTTTGATGCTTTCACAAAACTTTTTCATATGTATAATTGATTTTATGTTGTTTTTGAAGTTTCAAATGAGTTAACTTGTTGAAGCTGAGAATGTGAAGAAGAAGTTACAATGTTACATGATACAATTTTGATATTTTTCTTATATATATTTTATGTTTTTTAGTCATTCAAATATTTTTTTATTGTACTTTTTCTGTTTAGCAGGAATTGAAAGGAAACATTCGAGTTTTTTGTAATGTACGACCTACTATACTGAATCCAAGAGAGTTGATGAAACAATTGTTTCATATCCAAAAAACCTTGAACATCTTGGGCGTGGAATTGACTTGATGCATAATGATGAGATGTATATTTTTTTTTCCGTAATTAATATTTTTCTCTAGATTGGTGAGAAGTAATTCTTTGTGCAAAGTACATAATATTTTATACATTACTATGATTTTAGTAGCCAATCCCACATAGTGAGATAAAAGCTTCTTGTTATCGTTGTTGTGTGATTTTAGTAAAATGTTATTTTAGTGTATGTGCCGAGTAAATAAAATTTTTCATGCCAAGGAAGTTGTCAGTGCACTGACACAAGTTGTAAATGATGCCTAAATCAAGTCCGCATGGTCACCGGTGATAATATTCAAACAACCAAAGCCATTGCTTTAGAATGCAGAATCCTTCATTCAGAAGAGGAAGCAACAGAATCAACTATAACAGAAGGAAAAGCTTTCCATGCTTATTCTTAGAAAACAAGAGAAGAAATTGTTGAAAATATATATGTAAGATTATATTAGGCAGCATCCCTTCGATTGTGATTTCTCTGTAGTCAAATCTTTGATTGTTATTATATATATAATTATAATGTATGTTTGTGCGAATAGAATAGACTTTGGCTGGTTCTTCTGTGAACTTAATACCTTCTTCTTCTACCTCTCTGTTTCGTGTTTCTTTGTATTCATTACAAGAGAACAACTTCAGCAAGTTATCATGGTATTAGATCCCAAGTTGTGGTTTCTAAATTTCATCTCCTTGACACAGTGAGTTTATTTTCAGATGACTCATTCTTTTGAAGAAATGAGTATAGCATATTCTTCGACCAATCCCTCCCTTGTTTCATCTCAAGCTCCGTTGAAGAGGAGTGAAGCGATCATTTCACCTCCTGAAGTTTCTAATGCTTAATGTTAAATTGGTGATGAATACTCAACTCAATGCAGACAACTATTCACTATGGAAATCTCAAGTGCTCAAGTTGTTCAACGCCAATGGATTTGACAGATATCTGAATGGTTTGACACCTAAACCAATAAAGAACCTTGTTAATCAAATAGGTGAAGTTACATCTAATCCGCATTACCAAATCTGGATTCTCATCGATCAAAATCTCGCAGTGGCTTTGTATTTCGTTATCTCGCCAAATATTTTACCTTATATTCAGAATTTGGATATGTATGATGAAATCTGGAAAACTTTGGAAAACAATTGAACGAAGACTCCAATCAACGAATTGTTCCTGCTTGTTGTGACTGAAGAACAAACTCCACATTTCGATAAAGGATAAGACAATGATGCATTATTTATTCTATATTAAGAGCAAGTGTGATGCTATCGCTTCTTCCGACACACCCTTAGACCCGGAAGATGTTATATTATACACTTTGAATGGATTGTGCGCCCCTGCATATCAATCTTTCAAAACTGCAATCCGAACACAGATCCAGCCAATTAATCTGGATGATTTCTAATGAAGAGCTGAATATTACAACGGAAACTGCACGGGAAAATCCGATTTTTCCATCCGAATATCCTCAGCTAGCTCTTGCTGTTGCTCGAGGACGTGGGTGCTTTCCTTCTAACTCAAATAGAGGTCGTGGTCGTTATAACAATTATCCTATTGCTCCCATACATAATGCTGTTCAATCCATTATGGAAGGCAGTGGAAGTTTAAGAAATTTAGCTTAAAAACTGTCGTCAAAATTGAAACTGCCACCAAATCTATAAAAAAATCTCCTTCACATTTCAATGCAAAGCAGTAGTTATTTGTCCTTTTTTCTTCCTTCTTCTTCTGCATGTCGACAAGAGCTCTTTACTCATTTTGTTCCCCTCGTCGACCGCCTCTTCTCTCTGTGCAAATAAAGGATTTTATTCCATTTTATTCCCGCTAGAGTTCGCCTTCTTCTCCTTATTTGGTTAAAAAATTAAGCGTTTGATTTTGGAGAGGAAGAGAAAAAGGCATGGAGGAAAAAAGATGGAGCTCGCCAAAGGCGCCACCTTTTTTGGGGCTGAATGCTCGCCGGAGCGCCAGCCGAAGAAAGGCTGGTCTCGCTGGTGATTGCGTAGTAACGGCAGAGCAATCCTTGTATGGAGAAGGAGATCCTGGACACTGTCGTCCAAGCTGATTTGGTGAGTCTTTTATTATTTTAGTAGAAAGGTTTTGGTAGAATGTATTTTACAATTTTTAGATTTATATGGAGATGAATTTAACATATAAATAATTAATTAATTTTTTAATTGTCAAGAGATAGAATCTGAAATATGATTTTTTTTTTTTCAATTTTTTACTATCAAATTTTTTTTATTTGTATATGTTATGATTAAATTAATAAATAAAGAAAAAATAATAAGATTTGTTTGTGAATTTTTATATTTGATTGAAAATTTGATTAAAAAAAAAGGATAATATTAATTTTTTTTTAAAGTAAAAAATAATATATGAAATGGGCCCTTATTTATTATATGGTGCAATTTAAATTTTAAGATTGAAAAAATATTACTTATATATAATAGATTAGGGGAAAAAAACATTTTTGTTATACATATTTGACCAAAGCTTTATCCAAAAATTTGATATTAAATGTATGCACTAAATGATTTATGATTATTTTTATTCCTACATGTACATATGTGATCGAGTTAAACTGACTTTTGAGCCAGCTCGAGCTCAACTCAACAAATATTTGGTGAGTTGATTTCAATGAGCTAATAAATAAAGCTTGAGCTAGACCCACTCATCTATAAAATATATATATATATATATATATATATATATATATAATACTATACAATAATACATAATAATATATAGCTTAAACTCTTATAATAAATTATGGGCAAAATATAAATTTCTAGACTTGGTCACGTTTTTTTTTTTTTCCATAAAGCAGTTTTTAAATTATTTTTCAAATATATTTTCTTAAAAAAGTTTCATGATTTGCAGTTTGCTTATAAGCTGAGTCTTAAATGTGAGCAGAAGAAGAAAGAAAGGTTGAAGAAGATGGAAGAGAGAAAGATCTACCTTCAGCTCCACGAAGCCATGGAAGCACTGGTTCACTTCTGCAGAGATGGTTGCCGAACCATCGGCCCCCACGACAAAGTCCTCAAGCGGAGCTCCGCCCCCTGCAATTTCCCAGCATGCAAAGGATTGGAGTCTCTGGTTCGCCACTTCGCCGGCTGCAAAAGCAGAGTTCTTGGCGGCTGCATCCACTGCAAGAGAATGTGGCAAATCCTGGAACTTCACTCTCGGCTCTGCCAGCAGAATCATGGCGGCTGCAAGGTGCCTCTTTGCTGGCATTTCAAGGAGAAGGTGAGGAATCAGAGCAAGAAGGAAGAGGTGAAGTGGAAATTGTTGGTAAGCAAAGTGTTGGAGGCCCGAGGCTAAGACATAAGATGTTTTTTTTTTCCTCTCTTTTTTGTAAAGATATCAAAAGGTTTGCTTGGTTTGTATAGATTTTTGAACTATTGAGTTATAATGAGTTTAATTTTGATTATGAGGTTTAAGGACTGTTTGGTTGCATTGTTTGAGAAGATAGATAAGGGTTTATGGTGGCATAAAATATAGCTGCTTGATGATTGAGTTAAAAACTATTCACCATGTTCTATTTTTTTTTATTTAAGTATTAGTATTCGATACATTTCCTCTTAGTTTACTTTATTTACCATTTTGCCTATTTGTATGGGTGGAGAAATTATTCTGTGAGGAGTTTGGAATCTAATAAAATGAAGTCACTTTGTTAGTTGGACAACTTATTCATAGGGTGTGTATAAATTCTCTTTATTGTTGACTGTAACTGCATACCACCGACTCCCCCACCGACGGCAAATTATTGCATCAGGTCACCTGACAGAGAGATGCGTTCGGTCTCTCTCTGTCTACAGTAACCTGCGCTTTACTGTAGCAGTGCTACAGTAAAGCGCAGGTTACTGTAGACAGAGAGAGACCGAACGCATCTCTCTGTCAGGTGACCTGATGCAATAATTTGCCGCACACATCCTAAAATTGGAATTTTTCGGAGCCCACATTTATACACATATGTACAAAGTGTGTACAAGCTATATGACTTCATTTCATTGGAGTCCGAACATGAGCTATGTTCGAACTCCGCATATAATAATTTCTTGAGTGTTTGAGGCTGATAGTAGTATATGCATTTCTAATAAATTTATTGGAGAATCATTGAATATCATAGTGGAAATTTTTGTTGTTCATGGGAGGCCCCCATGCAATCCCTTGCAAGCTCAACTGATGGAATCGAGGTCGGAGTCAACAATACAATTCAATTAATTGACATAATCAGATTTCACATAGAACTAACATAGCAAAGTAGTCAATAGTTTATAATTGAAAGCCACTAAACATTCTCAACCCAATAAAATTGGTTAGAAAAAAAAAAGGAGTACAAGTTCTTGGTTGTTCGGTGTGAAATCTAATTATATTGATTAATCGGATTAAACTGCCACCTCGGATCTCAAGTCTTTTTCTCGTGCTTGCTGGGGTTGTGGGGGTTTACCCTCTACTTGAGTTCAGGTGCTTTGCGCCTGAATTTTTTTTTTTTTTTTTTTTTTGTACAACATTCCGGCGTTCTGTACTCGAGCGCTCCGACATTGTGTTCCTGAGCGCCCCAGCGTTGATCGACAAACAGAGCTCCGCAATGCTCTAGATTCAGCACTGCAGCATTGTGTACACTGCGGTGCTGTGAGTTTGAGCACCGCAGCATCATAATGACAGAGGCTTGAACGTCGCAGTTGTCAAACTAGCAACATAGCACTTCAAGGCAGACTTAATGGTTTTCTCTCTTATTTTTTCTCAAGGGTTGCGTCCGTTTGAGTTATTAACTTGACTTTCTCTTATATTGTAGTAGTTAGAATAAGAGAACTATGAAAACAGTGTAACAGAGAAGAGAAGCGAGAAGAGAGTATGAGAGAAGCAAGATTTGTCAATCTAATGCTAACATTATCAAATGAAAGGGTAAAATGATTAGAAGCACCGATATAAATTGCCTAAGCTCAACTCCCATTATTACAATTCCGGACTTTGAAAAGCATTTCTAAGTCGAATTCCATGCTTCAGCCGTTGACATAGAAGCAATTTTCACTCAAGTTTTTCAGTGAAAAACTTAGTATTCTAAGATAAAAAAGGCTTTAGTAGGCGAGCCAGCCTTCTCGTCACCTTAGAGACTAAAATCACAGGGATGGATGAACTTCAACACTTCTATTCTTCTTATACAAATTGCATTGTATCCTAAAGCAATTCTGTCGAAAGGATCTCTTAGACATGACTATTCTATGCAGCTGAGGTTTCCTTTTTAAGGGAAACCAATAGCGTTCTTCAAACACTTCTTTGAGCCACTAATTAATCTATGATAAATCATAGTAGAGAACTAGTTGCACATGCCAGGTGAGAAAATATTCGCAAAGCCCATTCCTTTTGGCCATAATTAAGATTAAGCTGCTCTACTTGCTGAATTTGGCTTCGTTTGGAACAAATTTCTTAATGTTTTCTAACATAATTCTCTAGTACAAAAAATTTTTGAATTAAAATTTTTGTACTAAAAAGATGCTTTAAAAAACATATAAAAAAATTGTCTTAAATAAAGCCTTAAATATCTGGCCAACATTTAATGTTGCTAATCTTTATTATTATCACCTACCAAATGATAGTGATGTGAAGATTACTGAACTTGAATTGGGTTCTTCTGAAACCGAAGAGAATTGATGCAGCTTACAACTTCTCTCCATAGCTCTATTTTCATTATCTTAAATAATATTTTAACTTCATAGCTTAAACACTTTTTAAGTCACATTTCCTCTTAATTTACTTTAATTAACGTTTTTCTTGTCAATGTTTGTGGCTGGTTCTGGTATATGTATTCCTTGAGAATTTGTAGGAGAATCATTAACTATCAAAGTGAAAATTTCACTATCCATGTTTCTTTTTTGTCTTCCAATGTGATCCTTGGAGCTGTGTCACTTTTTTTTTTTTTTTTTTTGGAGCTGTTTCACTTGATAATGGCATAATGAAAAAGATTTTCCCAAATTAATTGAGGAGAATATAGGTAAGAAATAATTTCGTTAAAAAGCAAACATCTATATAATCTCATCATATAGCAAATAGATTCATTTCGTTCACAGATCTCTGGGTCTACTCTTACAGCTCAAAAGCAGAAGCCACAAAGCTATCTGAGAGTCCAGTGCCAGTCTTAAAGGTGAGTTTCTCAGAAGTTGGCTTCTCAAAATAGACTTCAACTACAGAGAGCCATAGCAATAGCTCCTTAGTCTTCACGCCAGTCATCTTCTTCAGCTTATACTTCTCCACAAAGGCTGTCACCTCTGGTGCATAAGACACTGCCCTCTTTATCTGCTTGAAGACATGATCCTTCTTCTTCTTCTGTATCAACCATATGAAGCCAGCCTCACGGTTGTAGCCAAACTCCTCTATGTCTTCCAATGGGAAGAGACCTTTCGGGAGACAGAGCTCCTCCAGCAACTCGATGGACTTCTTCTTGCAAAGCTCATCTCCTTTGTAAATCTCAGCACCTTCGCGGTGGTTTTCGATGGTCTGAGATGCCATTGCTGGAGGAAGAAAGGGGCCTTTTAAGAGTAATTTAGTAGTTTAGAGATTGAAAGATGATAGTTTGTGTGGAGAAGATGATGGTAGAAACTGTTTATATAGGGGAGTTGGGTGGGGAAGGGGAATTATTGCTTTCTGAATATGTATGAAAGGAAGACTCAATGGGGTCAATAGCTAAAGAGGAAGAAGAGCTTGTCGGTGCCTTCCAAATTGGAATTGGCTGTAAGCAGACTATTGAGGAATGGGTCATATGGTCTCAATTGCTTTATTATTTTTTTTTAATATTTGGACTTATTCATGGAGATGTGGTCAATGAAAGTAGGCATTAAAAATTAGATGACTTATTAAAATATGGTCGTCCCTGCTGACTTTCATCTTTCTCAAGCCCTTGGAATTTGTCTAAAGCCTAAACACCAGGGGGTTGTTTGGTATCCGATTTACAGCGGGATTTAAGTCTGATTTACGCTAAATCCAGCCAAATGGCTTTTTGAGGTGCGTAAATCCGACGCCTGCTTAAATTTAGGATTTACGGCATAAATTCGAGTAAATCCACCTAAATATAAATCCCATCATTTGGAAGATTTAATGGGATTTGGCCAAAGAAGAGTGCGAAAGAAACAAAGATGGATACCTTGACAACGAGCAAGAGCAAGCTCCCGTCAACACGTGACTGAAGCTCACGTCATTGCGTCCGATCAAAATATCATAAATAATTTTTCCCATGAATGAGTTCAAATAACAAGAAAATAACATAGATGAAAAAAAAAAACTATCCTCTAATCTTCTTTATCTTCTTCCAGCTTAGTGTTTGCTTTTCCACCTTTAAAAATTTCCTTAAAATCAATTAAGAAATAAACAATTGAGACAATATGAACCATCCCTTGAAAGTCTGCAAACGGCGCCGACACTTACACTGGACGTGTTGACCTGCTGAGTTTGACTTTTAACTAGTCAAACATCTTCTTTTCTGACAAATTTCCAACGCGGAATTTTTTTTTTTTTTGGGACATTTAGGCCATTTAAGGCAAACTCACACACACAACACATACACATAGACTCGAACCCTAGACCTCTTAGTTGGAAGCCTAAGCTCTCAACCAATAGGCCAAGGAGAGTTGTGTCCAACGCGGAAATTTTAAACTAACATGACAACAAAATTTAATTAAAAAATTTATTATGACTTATATGATGAAGTGTTTTGGGATTTAATTATCCTCATTAAAATCTGACTATTAAAGACTATAAATTGATAAGTATTCAAAAAGGAGGGGAATTTCAACTTAAGCTTGCATAGAGCTTTAAGATTTGAAGAACTAGATAGACTTATCTTATTGTTAACTTAGACAATCGTTGTCGGGTACCATCATCTGAATGTTGACATTTGACCAATCATGTAGGGTCGTCATCAGACATCATTCATTCACTATCATTTGACCAACTGTAGATTCAAGGGCCTGGCGAACGGCGAAACATGTAGATTTGTAAAAATCTATCCAAGACATCACAGGGTATGAGATTCTTTCACTTTGTTTATGTTAATTTTGATAATATAATTTATAAAAAAAAAATAAATATTACAGATTTTGAAAATAAATATAGAATCTCAAAAGTCTGAATAATAATTTTATTTTATTTAAATTTTAATATATCAATCATGAGATCTGACCCAATTCAATGTATTTCATTGATGTAACTCGTATATTAAAAATTACACACTTTAAATAGAGAAAATATTAATACACTTTGGTAGAAATTAATTATGGAAGATGCTATCATGGCTCAAATAGATTTTTTGAGATTGTTTAATTATCATTTAGTAATGATGGGTCGTCTTTATCACTCTCCTTCAAATAGGGGAGATTGAGTGACCGAAAAATTGGGCATCGAATAATAGTAGTTGCGGACATTAGGTATTTTTCATTGGAAGGTGTTTGTTGATGATTGATTGGAATATCATATGTCAAAAGATAGCCAATTGATGGTAGATAGGAGGAAATTGAAAGAGGGCATCAAATGATGGTAGATTTTAAATTGATGTAGGTTGTTGAAGGACATCAACAGAGCTAATGTTGATATAATTTAGACTAAGACTTCGTTTGAGATGGCTTTTTATTACTTTCTAAAGCAGCTTTTTAGAACAAAATTTTTTGAATTAAAAAATTTTGTATCGAAAAACTGTTTTAGAAAGCAGTAAGAAAACTATCCCAAACAAAGCCCCCCAAGTTGTATTATCTCCCATTTCTCTATTCATTTTGAAACAATCCAACCGTTTCAAAGTAAGTCAGCCATAAAAAAAAAATTTTTTTGAATGATTACACTAACTGAGAAAGTTGTATTTCCATTAAGAAGCACAATATTACAATCACATAAACATACTGAAAACATCATCACTTATAATAGAACAAGTATCTCAAAAGGCAATAAAAATTCATAGCTCAAATAACTCCTATGTGTTGACCTCTCCATCTTCTCTTACAGCTCAAAAGCAGAAGCCACAAAGCTATCAGAGAGTCCAGTGCCAGTTTTGAAAGTGAGCTTCTCAGATGTTGGCTTCTCAAAATAGACTTCAACGACGGAGAGCCATAGCAATAGCTCCTTGGTCTTCACGCCGGTCATCTTCTTCAGCTTATACTTCTCCACGAAGGCCGTCACCTCTGGCGCATAAGACACCGCCCTCTTTATCTGCTTGAAGACATGATCATTCTTCTTCTTCTGTATCAACCATATGAAGCCAGCCTCACGGTTATAGCCAAACTCCTCTATGTCTTCCAATGGGAAGAGACCTTTTGGGAGGCAGAGCTCCTCCAGCAACTCGATGGACTTCTTCTTGCAAAGCTCATCTCCTTTGTAAATCTCAGCACCTTCACGGTAGTTGTCGATGATCTGAGATGCCATTCCTTGAAGAAGAAAGAGTAGTTTGAAGATTGAAAGATGAGAGCTTGTGCGTTGAAGATGATAGTGGAAGCTGTTTATATAGGGGAGTGGGGAAGAGGAATTACTGCTTTGCAGACTTGGAATTGTATGAAAAGAAAACTTTTTTAACTTATCAAAAATCAACCGTTTGTGGGGTCAAATTCAAGACAGAAAGAGTTTTTTTATTTGGACTCGTTCATGGAGAGTTGGTCAATTAAAGTATGAATTTGAAAACAGTTAACAAGCTCAATAATTAGTGCCTTATTAAAATATGGCCGCCCCTGCTGACTTATTTCTTTGTCAAGCATTTGGAATTGGTCCAAGCACCACTAAGTAGACAGCTTTGCTACGTAGCATTTTGAAAGCCGCTTATAAGTACTAATCCCAACCTTTCATCCCCTCTCATCACGTCTTATCTCCTTTGCTTTTCTTGCCTTCTTACTCCAACTATGGCATCTCAGATCATCGACAACAACCGTGAAGGCGCTGAGATTTACAAGGGAGATGAACTCTGCAAGAAGAAGTCTATCGAATTGCTGGAGGAGCTCTGCCTTCCTAAAGGGCTCCTTCCTTTAGAGGACATAGAAGAGTTTGGCTATAACCGTGAGGCTGGCTTCATATGGTTGATACAGAAGAAGAAGAAGAATCATGTCTTCAAGCAGATAAAGAGGGCGGTGTCTTATGCACCAGAGATCACAGCTTTTGTGGAGAAGTATAAGCTGAAGAAGATGACTGGTGTGAAAACTAAGGAGCTACTATTGTGGCTCTCTGTTGTTGAAGTCTATTTTGAGAAGCCAACTTCTGAGAAGCTCACCTTTAAGACTGGCACTGGACTCTCAGATAGCTTTGTGGCTTCTGCTTTTGAGCTGTAGGAGTAGATCAAGAGATGTGTGAATGAGATGGATCTATTTGGTATATGATGGCATTACTTAGATGTTTACTTTTATTTGATAATGTATTTGGTAAATTTATGATGATTGTAATATTGTGCTTTTGAATGAAAATATTTCTTACCGTAGTATATGTAATCTCTTCAATCAATTTGGTGAAATATTTTCATTATTCGCTTCTAAGGTTCTAAGATAAAATATTAAATGTATTAGAGATGTCACATTTTGACCCGACCTGAAAATATGATTTGAACCTGACCCAAAAAATTTAGCTTTAAGTCGACATATTTAACAAACGAGTCAAATTTGGGTTTTAATTCCCAACCCATTTGAAAAACTAGGTTAGATTCGAGTCAACCCGTCAACTCGAAAATGACCCGTGTGACTACCCCGCTCCCTCAGTCCCTCCCACGTGATCGCACCGTGTGAACCCACTCCCGCCCACGTCCTTCTTATATGCTCTCGCCTGCGTGACATCATCCAAACTCCAGCAGTCCAGCCCGTGTGTTCGCGTCTCGCGTGAAGCGAGACAGCACCCACGCACGCGCACTGTCCTAATCCCGCCTACTCGCCTAGCAACACACAACCCGTGCTCTACGCTTGCCCGAGTCTGCAAGTCGGGTCGGGTTGACCCAAATTTGGGGCATATTAGACTCGGATTGGAGTAGTGGATGGCGAGTCAATTTCGGTTTGGACCTGAACCCAACCCAAAAATCTATTTTGACACCCTTAAATTATATCATCATCAAGTGAAGAAGCTCAAAGGATCATATATCAAATTTATTTGAATATAGTAAAAGATAAAAAAAGAAGCTCAAAGGATCATTTGGGAAGACAAAATGAAACATAGAAAAGTGAAATTTCTAATATGATAGTCAATGAATCTCTTCTTCTGCAAATCCTTCATGAATACATGTACCACAACCAGCCATAGACACCGGAGGTAACAATGTTAATTGAAGTAAACTAAGGCTTCATTTGGAACTGATTTTTTTATTGTTTTTTAAAGCAATATTTTAGTAAAAAAAAATTGTAATAAAAATCTATTTTTTGAATCAATAAAAAATTCGTCCAAAATAAAATCTAAGAGTAAATGTTTCTAATAAAAGTGCTTAAACTATGAAGTAAAAAATGTATTTAAGATAATGAAAATAGAACTTATAAGTTATAAAGATCATACTGTGATTTGTACAGTTGAGCTAGATCAGTAAGCTTTGCTTTAACATTCTATAGCATCATATTAAAATTTGTAATCATATAAGTAGAGATTTAGGTTTAGATTGAGACAATTTTTTTAATGTTTTTTAAAGTAATTTTATGTACAAAAATTAAATTTTTTTCCTTTATTATTTTATTCATCCTCTTATAGCTTTTATTTTATATGGACATAAATTATGTTTGAATATTACACTTGATACTACATCACAAAATTAGCTTGATCGGGCACGAATCTCGAGGCAAAAGCTAGTTGGAAACTTCAAAAATTAATTCCGAGAGCACCCCAACTCCGATTTCAGCAAGCTTATAGTTGAACTGAGCGTCTCGGAAATACGAAGACGCAAGAACACTCAAAATTTTATTGCGATAAATAAAAAATTTATAATTTATTTTAATACTAATACAGACAAAACAAGTTGAAATAGCTTTTTCTACTATAACTATTATAAAATATCAACCACAAAATAGAATTAGAGATTAATTGAAGCATGATATGTTAATCATTTATATTGAGAAAAAAATATTTGATTGTATTGATAATAAAATAATAACTAAACTCTTTCAAAAAAATATGCATTATAAATTATAAGTTTTTTATTATGTTTTATTTTATTTTTTTAAATAACAAGTTTAAATAAAACTTTTTAAAATTTCTTTATGTTGATCTCAAGTATAAATGAGAAAAAAATTAAAAAATCTATTTAAAAAATAGAATTTAGGATAAAATGAAAACAAACACTACAGGAAAATCACATATTACCAGCAGATATGTCCTGTAAAAGACAATAAAAAAAAAAAAAATATTACCAGCCGATTTTATAGCAAAAAATTGTTAATTTTTCGCCAGATTTCCGGTGAAAATTTTTCGAACGATAAATCAAGTGTCGGAAAATTTTCCCGTAAAAAATAAGCCAGAAAACTTTTCCAGTTGGCTGTTCGGCAGAGAAAAAGTGCCGGAATAACTAAGAAAATAAAAAAATATTATGATAATTTACTAAACTAATAATCAATTAAAATAAAGTATCAAATTTATAATTAATTAGAATAAACTATAAAACTATTAATTAATTAATTACGAATCCATTTTTTTCATAAATTTTAAATCCGCCGGAAAATCGATTAGAAATATTTCATAAAATAAACTATAATCCATAAAAAATCCTCCAAAAAATCCACCCGAGAATCGCCGAAAAATTTATCTATAATAAATGATTTTCCTATAATGAAATAGTCAAACCCCGCTTGGCAAATATTTCTACTTGTTTTACAATCATTTGGACTCTTTCATGACTCGACACGGAGAGGTGGTCGATGAAAGTACTAATTAGTTAATTAGCTGCCTTACTAAAGTATAGCCGCCTCCATTGACTTTCTTCAATCTAAAAACCTTTGGAATGGGAGGAGGAATTGGTCAAAACACCAAAAAGTCAACAAAGCCTTCCTTCTTAGCAGTTCGTAAGAATCTTATAAATACCAATCTCAGCCTTTCATCCCCCATCACCACTTCTTCTTCTCTCCTCTGCTATCTGCTTATTATTACTCAACTCCCAAGCTTTTCTTGCCTTCTAAGTCCAACAATGGCATCTCAAACCATCGAAAACCACCGCGAAGGTGCTGAGATTTACAAAGGAGACGAACTTTGCAAGAAGAAGTCCATCGAATTGCTGGAGGAGCTCTGCCTCCCGAAAGGTCTCTTTCCTTTGGAGGACATTGAATAGTTTGGCTATGACCATGAGGCTGGCTTCATATGGTTGATACAGAAGAAGAAGAAGGATCATGTCTTCAAGCAGATAAAGAGGGCTGTGTCTTATGCACCAGAGGTCACAGCCTTTGTGGAGAAGTATAAGCTAAAGAAGATGACCGGTGTGAAGACCAAAGAGTTATTGCTATGGCTCTCCGTCGTTGAAGTTTACTTTGAGAAGCCAACATCTGAGAAGCTCACCTTTAAGACTGGCACTGGACTCTCTGATAGCTTTGTGGCTTCTGCATTTGAGCTGTAATAATCAAAATAGGAAAAATTATTCTGTGCGGATCTTGGACAAGGTCTGGAGATTAATCAGAACACACTAAGTCAATTTTTTTGCTCAGTATCGTTGCGTATCGGGTGATATGGCGAGTTTTGTTTAGCCTTCAAACCATTCAGTATATGCACAGAATAATTTCTATGAAAATAAAGGGTGTTATATATGAGAAATTTTCATACTTATCTATGAAATTTAATTCACATGTTGATGTAATTGTATTTTTTCTCCATTAGCTCAATAATATTTTGTTATTTCGAGCAGCTTGTTTTGCATGAGATCCAATCACAATATAATTTAGGATCTGATTTATCAGAAAATTAGGCACGTTGACAAGAAAAAGTTTTTTGTAATGTGATCTACTATAATATAATAAATTTAATAAAACTCTTTTTTTTCTAAAAAGAAAAAATCTCTAACAATTATATCAAATTAAACAAAAAAATTTACTCTTATAATAACAGTTCTAAAGTAATTTTTGCATAACCTTTAGTAAAACAATAGCAAAAGAGTCAGATATTGATGATAAAATAATTCATTCAGAATGAGCAAAAAAAATCTCCTTTTGTAATCCATAGAATATCATTCCGATAAAATTAAGGTTCTGTTTGGAATAGCTCTACTACTGCTTCTTAAAACAACTTTTTAATTTAAAAATTAAAAATTACTTTAAGAAACACTAAGAAAGCTGTCTCAAACAAAATTTAATAAAAACAAAAATAACCCACGGCAGCAGCTTTATCCCCACTGCTGAAGCTGAATGACTGAAAAAAGGAAGATTCATTACATGCTGTATAACTGTGATGAGAAAGAACTCAAATAAGCTCATCCCAAAGTATCTGCTTTCCGCTCCATTAGCATGCAAGATTTCTGCAGCTTGCAGGAAATAGGAAAAATATATAGAGGAAAAGAGAGAGAGCATTCAATAGCCACCCAACCCTGCAAAATGTTTTTTCATTGCTCTGTCCTTCCTATAATGATTTCCACCACCACCACCACCACCACCTCTCCTCCCTCCTCCTCTTCCTCGAAAACCAGAGCTCCCTCTGCCTGAATTTTCTGCAGGAACGGAGACTTGTTCATCTTCTTCATCAGAATCTTCCAATTTTTTAACAGCTCCAAGAGGTAGATTTCCTCCACGACCAAGGCCATGTATGAGCTCTTTCTGCGATTGATTCCATATAGCTGCATCTTTAGCACTCGCTACACCCACAGAACCAGAGACCTTGTAGCTGTAGTTTTTTCCATCCTTGACATAAAACAATGGCTTCTTCTGTGAATTCCATCTTGAACTAGAACTTTGATCAGTTTCTGTTGATTTCCCTGACGATGAATTAATCCTATCGCTTAAATTTTCTGCATCCACAAAACCAGATTCCACTACACTCAAACCCAAATCATCAAAAGAATCATCATATTCATCTTCATACTCGAACTCCGCCGCTAGAATGGCTGATCGTACCGCATCGCCTGAAGAACTTGAGTCCAAGACTTCAGAATCAAGCGTATCACTCTTTGACTTCCTGGTGAATCGACCAAAAGAAGACTGAAAAGTTGAAGAGCCACCTGCAACTTCTCTTTTGAGATCAAGCTGAGCAGAAATTGGATTCTTTTGCGATGAAGACTGATCTACCACAACTGCTTTTCCTTTATCATTCACATTTTGTGAAATCTGATTAGATTGTGGAATCTGCTCCACCGAAGTATCAAGAGATGACAGATCTTCATGGAGCGTTCCTTCTAAAATCCTTTGAATCACCTCTTCTGTGTCATGGTTATAGATTTCAAGGCAAGCCTTAAGGAATCCTCTCCCATAGTCTGGAAATAAATCTTTTATTTGGCTGATTTTTGAATCTAAAAGTACTGCATCTTCATCCACTTGCACCTGGTTAACATGAGAAGTGATTGGCACCACCGGTGCACTTGCAGAAGATCTAAAAGAAGATGATGGATTCAGAATTCGTGACAAGTATTGCAGCTGTTGTTCATCCAATGAAATCCATCCTGAAAATAAAAGGGGGGAGGATAAATCAATATGAAAATCATTAGGCATAATCCATGCACATAACAATAAAGAAATGGATTATGGTTTCGTTTGGGACAGCTTTCTTATTGCTTTTTAAAGCAGTTTTTTATATAAAATTTTTAATATTTGTACTATAAAACTGCTTTAAAAAACAGTAAGAAAACAGTCCCAACCGAAACCTATGTCAACTGACACTTTCCCTTACTCTAGCTATCAACTTCCCTTACAGCCCCTCCCATATTGAGTGTTTCCACAAGGAGAGTCAATTTCTCAGTAAAAGATGACTTACAAAAGGACCGTTGTCTCTCCATTAATGCAGATCAGATTACTTTGTTTCCTTAGTTGCAGTTTATTTTCATTTTCATTTATTACTTCTAACATTTTCTTAATTTCTTCAAGTGTTTGAGAATGTGCGAGCTCAGGGATTAAAGAAAAAAAAAGTAGCAAGTATACAACTGCACTCAAATCAATGAAAATAATAATAGAAGCAATAATAAGAAACAAAATCCATCTAAGATAATGGACTAACTTGTACCTTGACTACAAAGACTGTCGATTTGGCTGAATATTTTGTAGTTCTTTTCAATGTTTTCAGTAAAAGTTCCAAGGTCATGATACTCAAGATGATTTTGGGCCTCTCCATTTATCTCTTTCAAGGTTTGAACTAAAATGTCGCCCCTTATAGAAGGATCCTCAACACTAGCCGGAAACACTTTTGAAGTACTCTGAAGAAGATTGTCATCAGTATGCTCACCATGCAAATAACAGAAGTCCAGCAACTTCCAACCAAACTTGACTATCCTTGTTGACAACATTTTAAGGCTAAGAAAAATATCAGGAATTCCTCCACCAGAAACTTTTTGTCCATCAACTTCTCTGGTATTGGAAAAAAGTGAAAATCCACGTAGCATGGATGGGATCAATGAATCATGCAACCTAGCAAGGGTGTTGAGTAGCTCTTCATGTCCATAACTGCACAGCACAATTTTCAAAGTCTTTCAGGCTTACAGCTATAATTGAAGCTTATCTTTGTCAAAATCCAGTGGAATAGAAAATTTACAGATAGTTCGATAACTTAATCTACCTTGTTTCAAACGAAACAGAGAAATGCAAGGCTGCTGGCCTATATGCATCAGCAAATGCATCAAACGTCATGATGGCATCATTTATGAAATCCATTACCTAACATAATATAGGATCACAAGTAAGAAGTAACATAACTACAAAACAAGAACTTGCCTTTTTAGAAATCACTTGCCTCCAAAAAATCATTGGATAGTTGCATGAACCCGCGGCCTCCATCGCTTCCACAGGAAGCCAGCACCTGCATGTAATGAGGCTAAAGTTACAAAATCCATTACAAGTTGAAAAAAAAAAAACTTAATAACTTACATCTCCAAAAGAAAATTGTTTAAGTAATCTCACTAAACTAGATTCCCAACTAATGCTACAAGAAGAAAACAGACCACACGAATTGTAATTACCAGAAGAAAAAAAAATTATGGGATGAGTTAAAGGCAGAAGTAATGCATCACAAAGTTAAATTTATCGAGAGTGTTGCAATAGATTTGTGAATTTAATAATAATAACTTTTGATAATGTAGGATTATTATAATATTATAATATTAATTAATAAAATATCTAATTATAAACCAATATGATCAAGAGCAAAGAAAAACTAATACCCATAAATGGTATTTTATGCAAAAATAGTTTTTTTGTTAATTTTATGATCTGTAACACAGAACAATGTTCCAGTGTATTTTTGTTTCTAACCGGTCAGTACTGTTTTATCTAGGAAAATAATAAAGTTATCTTATGATGAATTAGTTGCGCCCACAAATGATATAAATTATGACATATATAATTAATAATAAAAGTTATAACTTTTTGACTAAATAGATTTGAGATGGACTTCCATCAAAAGAAACTGAAATTTATAGTGTTATTTGAAGAAAACTCCCCATAGTTTTGATCTTTTAGTGTACAACAGCAATAATTTTAGAACATTCAAAAATAAAGATAATAGTTACCATATTTTCAAACAAGGACAACCAACCCTAGCATAGATATCATGATTTCTTGAATTGTTGGCATGTATGCCGGGTCTCTTGATACCCTGGCATATACGTTATGAAACCCAAATTTGTATAAACATCAAAAATTGCATAACAAACAACAGTAGTAAAAAAAGGGTTTTTAAAAACTTGGACATGTCCCAGAATTTTATAGGGTTGATGGTTATTTGAAAATAGACTAAATTATTATTCTTCTTAATTAAGCTCTAAAATAGTTGCATTTTTTTCAAAAAGATCAAACAACAAAGAGTTTTATACAAATAGCCAATTTATAAAAAATTTACAAGTAAAGACCAAAATAGTCCCACGACTATTTGTATGTGACAAATTTAAACCCAAAATATCATATTTCTCTAATTAAGCCTATCGAGTACATAAAATTGCTAGTTGATCACTCAGGTAGAAATTGAAAAAATTGTATATATAAAATTGATCCCAATTTAGTCCATGAGAGATCATTTAGAAATAATTTTGTATAATTGAGGGAATAAATTAGAAAATATGACATTCTTAACCACATACAAGTAGTTGGGGGACAATATTGGGCTTTTCTCAATAATTTACTATATAAACACTTGTGCTGATTTGCATAGACATGTAAAAAAATATCATGATTTTTATATATGAAGCTCAGTATCTCATCTTTCTCTACAAAACAATTCCCCACCACTCCAAAAAAGGAAGAAAACTCTGGCGACGGTTACCTATTTATCACAAAGTTATCATGATTCTTCACCTATTGAACTCAATATCTCTCCCTTCTTCTTTCCTCCCTTGAACCACAATTCACCCACCCCCTCCCCCGCTCTCACCTCCCTAAAAAATAATTAAAAAAATGCTATATCTTCTATTTTGTTCTACTCCTAAAACTTTCTCATTATAAAAACTAGAAGAACTGTAGCATATTAATGCTCTTGATCATCAAAATCTATTGAATATCTCAATTTTATGCCGCCCTCTTATTCAAAAGCACATCCATCATCCCTCACTATCAACCTCATTACTTTAATCAAACATAGACCTTCCAATCTCTTTCCTTAAACATTAATGAATTACCATTTCTCTCTACAATTGTCTTATTGATGCCTCTATTCCATGTCCTCACATTCAAGACAAACATCAATTGTCCCCTCTGCACTCGATCAAATCATATCAAGCTTCCCTCCCTTCATCGTCCATGACAATTAGCACCTATTGCCAAGAAAAACTCATAAAACCTCATCCACCATTGGAGGCCCTATTTACACCTCCATACTCTCTTTTCAATCCAACCAATGTATTATCTTCCCCCATTTTATCTTATAGGATCTTGCCTAACAATTAGCACGCATGACTATTAGATAGTTATATGATCAATAATTAGTGGTTCGGGTCATCGGGTGTTGGTAGTACTATGTTTGTTTCCTCACATTTGTGAATATTTAATTATCATGCCATAACATGTAGAAACCACTATGGTTTGGTGTAATATCAATTAGATAGCAATGATCATATGAGCAATGAAGTTTTACATAGTGTTGAAGTCAGAGAGACCAGTGCGGCACCATGCACCCTAGCACTCAAAAGCCTCTGATGGCCAATCTCAAGACCAATCTATTACTTGTGAAGCACTCAAGCACATGACATGTCGGATGCACAAAGAGGTATCAACATAATATAGACAATAGGGGGAGATTAAGAGGTCAAAAAGGATGATAATGATGATGATATCGATAAGAGGGATGGAGAAGGGTGGGGTGGAAAGTAATTGATTGACACACATACACTGATGATATTTATATAAATATGATGTTAAATTATATTAGAATACTTAAGCATGCATGCATGACTAATAATTTTATTATTATGTGTTGTTAAGAAAACAATTTGTCTACTTTACATAAGCTTAAATTAAATCAATTGAGTTAATTTTATAATCAACGAGAGCATAAGCTTGCCAAAATAAAACAAACTTATGATAGATTTGTAGCATAAGCTTTAAGATTTCATTGCAACTCCACACAAAGATGTGATGAGCCTGAGAATTTGCACAAGTAATCTATCACAAACTTCATTTAAGATGTACATTGAAGTAAATACAAAAATGATAAGACAATATTTCTTATAGATAATTATTAGCAACCAATCCAACAAACTCCATGTCTAATAAAAACAATTTGGATTGTACGTATAAGAAGGCATTTAGAAGATGAAACGCATGTGAAAATGAAAAACAAAGCTGAAAGCAATAGTTTATTTCTTGCTCCAATGAGCAGCACAGAACGAAACAGCACTTTTATTAGGAAACCCTGATAACTTATATATCATGTACATATACATAATACGCACATATAATAACTATTTAATTGACCGAATCTAAACTATAATAGGTAATAATTATCTGCAAACATATTGCTACATACAATGCTTAATTTGAAAACAATCTTAACATTGAACCATCATGTTTAGCATCTTGATTGACTAGGATAGCCTCCTGATCAATTAGAAGGAGAATCATGATCCACAAAGGCTATCACGGTAAACCAAGATAGTGCATACTCGACCAAAGGGAATCCTAATCAATAAAGAAGACTTGTTGGTCGCCTAGGAAAGTTTTTGGTCAACCATGATGACTAACATGATCAAGAGAGAGATCCACGGAGCTCCAAAAGCAAGAGGTCTGTGCAAATTAGAGAGGTGTAAAAAAGAGATATCCAGAATCTCAAACCAGAGAGCCAAAATGTGCAAGAAGTGAGGAGAAACCATATGATATGTTGCAAACGACAATGTGTAGGTGAGATGCCTTCGAGTTTGGGTTTATCGACAATCAGAGAAAGGGTTAAAGAAGATTTATAAAAAAGCCAATAGAATAGTTATAGAGATTGAGCAGAGTGGTAGATTCATAAAATTGGGCCGAGCCACATGGTAAATTGAATGAAGGAAAAAGGGGAAGGAATGCTTAGATGATATTAAGAAATGGAACCAGAGCAGGCAATGTTGATTTGTTGTGGAAAACTAAGCAGTTGTGGTGCTAGATCGAACTAAAGTATAGGATTTAAGGTTAAACATTGATGGTAAAAAGGAGAATGACCCAAGTATGCGAAGAGGAGTGAAATAGGGTTGCATGCAGTCAAGTTTGAGCAGGCCAAACTCAACTTAAAGCTGAAAATTTTTATTTCTAATCGAACAAACTTAGAGTCGAGTAAAAAATTATCAATTTCAAGTCAATTTTAGAGTTGATCTCAGTCATATCCTTTAATTTAAAAATAAATTTTAAATTTCAAAATGGATTATGTTTAAGTAAATATTTAATTCATACTATGTACTTAATTCTTTCCAAAAAAAAACTAATATATATATAACAGAAATGTGAATAAATGTATTAAATATAAATATATCTATATATTGAATACTTATTCTAGACATATGTATGTGTATAAATGAGTGAAGATGCACACATAATTATGCAATTTTTTTATGAATCTAGTTGATTTTGATTTAAATCAAATTAATTTCGAGTGAGTCATACCTGAATCAAAGCAAATCAATTTTGATCTCAAATAAATGAAAATTTGAGCAATTATCAAGTGATTTTTTAGTTTTGAGTTTTGAACAAATTTGTCAGCACCAAAATAAGCAGGTCATGACAATCTTCAAAAATAAGCAATGGGATTCAACACAAATCAATGAAGATGACACTAGAAAGAGGCAACAACAACAACAAGCCTTTATCCCACTACTTAGGGTCGGCACAAGAAGACACCACCATTCATATGGGAAAAATATAAGAAAGGAGAGCAATGACAAGCAAAGGCCAAAGATAATGACAAGAAATAAGGAAAAGTAGATTTGAAATTATAGAATCTCTTAGCAATGTCTTGAAGACAATCACTCTTTAATTTTGTTGCTCTATTTCCATATTAGATGCTTGCAAAAAAATTTAAAACATGTTTTTCGTAGCTTTTTAATGTAAAATGTGGCTTTTTGAACCATTATTGTAACATAACACGCTCATCAGTAAAAGAAAACAAATTGCAAGGATTTTCAACTATCCGAGCATTACTATTTTGGCTAAAACAATAATTTTGCATAAAAAAGCCAAAAAATACAACATTTGCAATATAAATATGCAGTCCAAATAACCATCATCATTAGCCTTAACCCATCACTGAGCAAGTAGTTTAAATATTTTGATGATAAATGAGTCAAGATTTTCTACAATAGAGTACCTCTAGTGATGTGTTGCAGCGCTCATACATTGTATGAACTATGTTTAGAAAATGGGATACCACGCCCCCTAGGTTGTGTACAAATTGCGGCTGAACTTTTATGGCATTTGTAACCTGCAGCAAAGCTCAAAAGCATAAAGAATGTCAGCATAAAAATAAAATATTATGATATATAATTATATATATATTGTATAATAACCTAACTTTTGATGGCAAAGAAATTGCCAGCACATGGGATAAATAGAACTAATTTGATAAAATAGAAAGAAAAAGAGGTAGGCTATACCGCTATAAATAATATAGTTAAAAGTTATGCGAAAATACTAACATAATTTAGAGTTAACATACAAGTAGCACTAAACAAGAATGAGCAGAGGAGGATTAAGACAGCCTCTAATATATAGTGTAAGTCTGATTATACAGATTGAGTAGTTACAAGTAGAAATACTTAGCAGGTGCTTTATCAATTATCACATAGCCTTTTTCCTCTCTATCCCACTCTCACATTGTCCCCACTTTTTCCCTTCTACGCTCCATTGACAATTTAATGTTTTTTCCCCCTTATCCAGCCATTAGCATCTCTGCTAATCAATGCGATGATATCTCACAGTCATGACAACTTTACCTACCATAATCCCTCTCAAACCAGTAGTCTACTTCCCAAGCATTTGCTCTTCCAGATATGCTAAGTTTGACTGTGCTAGTATGTTACAATTGAATATGGTGGCTAGATTTCAAAACCAAAAATATGCATATGTTTCCAAACTCAATGTTATGAATATCCATTTATTCTTAGGCTTGCAAGTCTATTTCAATTTAAACAAGAGATGGAAAAAACAGCATTTATTTCACCCTGATTGAAAGAAAATCCAACTTTGATAATATTATATAAGAGAAAAGGACCAAAATGATCCATCGATTCTTTGTAAGGGATCAAAATAGTTCCCAACTCTTTGAGGGACCAATTTGGTCCCTCAACTTCTTAAAAAGATATATTAAAAATTAAAGTAAACAATCTCAACTAGGGTTGGGGAAAGAATATACAACCATGCAATTGAGAGCTTTCATTTCATTAATCCAAGGATTCCCATTTCATTCCCTGAGAGGCTTATTTATAAAAGATAATTTGGAGTTGAATGCCTAAATAGTACCTTGGGCCAAATGCAAATGTAATGTCCAATAACTTCTTGAATAAAATAAAATAGATCCAAACACATAAAAGCAAAAAATAAATTCTATCCAGAATCATCTTGATCAACGTAGTAATAGTTGAGTCCTACAAATATAATATATGAGTTACGGTGTAACATACAGTAGTTAATTTGCACTAACTCACATGGGGTGATGAGAACTCTCCTCTTGAGAGTGAAGCTGACAGTACTTGTGGATAAGATTAGAAGACAAGTGCTAATGCTCATCACAATAATCATCCTCAAGAGGGTACCCACATTATCAAATGAAGAGACACTAGTAAACAAAATGGTTGATTATAATTCCATTTATAATGAATTGATTCGAAAAAGTGAAGTCATATAAGGTAATACTGGTATGGATGTCATTGAAGCAAGTGCAAATACACCTCTTGAGAGAATTTTAGTTAAAAGGAAAGGAGTTCGAGAGTATCTTCAAATTTTCAAATATAACTTATATGCATGTTAGGTGGCAATCATAGTTAGCACACATAAGGTGTCAGTTTTATAATGATGGGTGAGGACCAACATCTCTTTAATACAGTTTCTTATATGTGTTACATGGAAAATGTTCAAGTTGTACCACAACTAAGACAATATAAAAGTCCATCAAGTAAACATGATTTAGGAAATATTCCTAAAAAATATAAACATAATTAGGAAATGTTCCTAAACAAGTCTCCCTTAATTAGTAATCTTCATAAACTACCCTTAATTAGGAACCTTTTAAATATCTTCCCCTCGACCCCACAAGGTGGGCCCCCTGGTGTATCACACAACAATAGAATTTCAATTTTCTTTTATTAATAGCTTTTTCTGAAAGATTAAATTTTCTCATCTTTCAAGTTCCAACATCTTCCTATGAAAATAAGGTCATTTTATCATTTTATTTATGTTCCTAAGATATATGTCCATAACTACTACTTTTCTTTGCTTTGTTGTAAACATTCTCCTGTAGTGCAAGTGGATTTTCCTTTCCAAGTAAAAAAAAAAGTATTCGAGTGTAACTTCTAAAATATTATTTATAGCCCAATACCTTGTAATAAAACGGGGAGAATGGTAAAGGAAAAAAAAAGCTGATAATGTGCTTGTCAATTGATGTAATTAAAAGATCCGGTTCCCAGAAAACCTTCAACTCCCAAGATCACAATAGCTGAAAAAACGCCCCCCAACCACCCCTCCCACCCCCACACACACACACCCACACAAAAAAACAGACACGCAAACACACCCCTATAAAACAATATTATTCCAATGACATACTTGAATGTAAGCTCATAGTGGATGTAAATTGACTGGCAATGACAATAAACTCATGTAGCCTACAGGATATATTAACAGGATCGTACCAATGACTTAATGAGCTCCCCATTTTCATGTCCATAGATGGCACATATATCCAATAATTTTGGTAGGTCCAACAGTTTCTTTTCCTGTAAAAGGGCTGTACATGACATAAAAATACAATTATACTAACTTAACAGCTTCCATCACATAATTCAATCCCATAACAATAATGATGCCTACTACGCAAAGTATATAACACCATGTATCATATAAAGAATACCAGTATGATCTTTTACGCTGAGGCCATCAATGGCAAGAGCCTCTGGATCTCTATTGGAGGATCTGTAATAAAAAGGATTTCAAATAATCACATAAATATTACCCCATCACAATTGAAAAATCAATCCTCGAAATAGCATGCATTGAAATTATTTTTTTATTACTCATGCGAGTATTATAAAATTAAGCTATTGATTGGAAAGCAATGGCTCACATCCGATAGAGGACCAAAAAAACTCGACGGCATAAATCAGCTTCTCCAACAATGACGCCTGCGACCATTCCCCTGGAGCCACGATGCGGGAAATCATACCATCTACTCCTGAACTGCAAATAACTATCTAGAAACTGATGCAGCGATTCGTTCTTCGCCACTGAAAATTTGAGGATAGAAAAAGGAGGAAAAAACTCGCATCAACAAAAGCATGGATGCACAGGGGTGAATTTACCTATTTAGATGATTCTAAGGACCCACGTAGTAGCTTGTAAATAGAAAATATGTTCTAGAAAGTGAAGATATAGTTTCATTCAATTTGTGTATGACAATTAAATCGTCACATTTAAGAGGATTTTGATTGGATTTGTATTGGTTAAACTCAATCTTCATTTCTAATTGCACCCAACGAAATGATGGATTTAGCACATTTCATGTTACATGAATTCTAAGTTAAAGCACGTTAGGGTTATACAGGGAAATGAGATTTTACCGTCTTTCCAAAAATCCCTAGGTTTCATCTTGAGGAGACGGCATAGTTCGTCGTTGAGAAAATCAACAACTGCCTGCGACTCCACAGCATCCAATCCGCCAGCATCAGCCCCAAGGCCTGAAGCCACCGCCTCGTCCTGGGGCAAGTATCTCACGAAACTGCTTCCTACGATTCTTCCATCGACTTTATTTTCTGTTGAAGGCTTCGCCGTGGCAGTCGACCTCAGTGATGTGGTGAGAGGCGGGGCGGGCTTCCTATCGTTGGATGCAGACTGAGAGCTGGTGGCAGCGACCGCGGCGTTGGCGGGGGCCGACGAGGCGATATCTGTTTTCGGAACATATCTTGCGTGGGGACGGAAAGAGCCCTTCGGCCCGCGGGATCTCTGCTGCGGCGCGGACATGGCTCCCACTCTCTTGCTTGGTCGGAATGAAGCAGCCTTCAGGGAAAAGCAAGAGGCGAAAAATTTTCCCGAAAGTATTTCCCGAAAAAAAAAATAAATACGAAAAATGGGGCACGTGTTGATTTTCAATTAAAAAGAATAAATAAATAAATAAATAAATAATAAAAATGTGTCACATAAATGTTCTAAATAATAAATTTTATTTTTTAAAAAATAATAAACTTTGGACATGCATCACTAATTCACTTCTACCCTCCCATATAGTGACATATTGCTCATGATAGAGCAACCAATCAACGTCCTTTTCCTCGCTCATCCATCCTAACAGAAGTATGTTCCATTGGCAATACGTTCATTATGGGAAAGTGTACGAATTGGCGAATAACCCTGTTAGGAATGTGTCATTCTACTCTTTTCTAACAGATCAATGATTTCTGAGACATCCAAATGTACATACCTTCTAGGCATATGAGTGTTGAACGAGTAAAAATGGCCTATGTGTATGGCTCCCATATGATCTGCAGTATTTAATTATTATGGATATCCTCCTACAATTGAGAAAATCTAAAATAATTTATTTTAGTTATACCTAAATTTGGAGTTAACCATCAAGTTTAACCATATACATATTTCCTATTGGAACCCCTATACCCCTTATTGTCTTATTGATGCTCTTGTGTACATATCTTAAATATGCATGGTGTGTCGCCATGGGGAATATATCCCTACATCCACGAATAAAACCAAGATGCTTAGCTTATATAATGCATAGTTTTTCTCTTGAAGCTACATTTAGGAGTAGATCAAATAAGTATTGGAGAAACAATGTCCAAGATGCACTGGACTTTGACTCAACTATAGCAAAAGCAAAAGGAAATAGACCGTTATTCACATCGATCCCAACAACAGTGAGCAAAGTACCACAATAATTTTCAAGTAAGAATGTACCATCAAGGCTTAGGACTAGTCGGTAGTATTCCTAACCGGTGATGCAATGACCAAACTCCTAAAAAAAACTTTTAAATATGTTAATTTCGACTCAACCCCCCCCCCCCCCCCCCCCCCCCCCTTATTATTTCATAGGCTTTTATATCAATCTGCTGTCGCACAACTTGTTGACTGAAATAACTTGTGAATCTTGAATTACGCTGTCGATGTCCGCAAGAAGAATGCCATTGGTGCAAGTGTGATCATACCTAGCAGATGATACCTTTCATGTGCCACCTAAGCGCTTATATGAACTAGCATGCAGACACCACTTGCACGCTCTATTCATAGATTTTTAATGCAACAACATAATGTATATTTCATTCTATTTGACAAAATGACTTCAAACTCAACATTGTTCATGATTGACCAACTATAGAGAATGAATTGCAACTATCTTTTCGTTGCAAAATACATAATGTCCATAATTTCATTGGGAATTCTATTCATGCGCGACAGTATCACTATATATAGCACCATCAAAGACAAGACTTATGTTCCATTATTTGGCATTTTGGCATGTCCTAGCAAAGTCATTTGTGTTAACTATTAGATCTATCGTGTCATTAGTTTCTTCATGATAATTATGCAATAAAGTATGCACCTCGTGGAACTCTTCTTTGTTTATGTCACCCAAATTAGACAACACATTAGTTGACTCACTGCTCATAGTTTCATACCCTTCATTGACTAAATTTAGATTCTCTAACAAATCTTCTCGTCGGGGGTCATTAATGGGTGAATACTGTGATGAGGGCCCAATAGCACCAGAAACAATATGTCCACTCAGAGATATAATATTAGTACATTCACAATAAAATCGTTACACTTATTCACTACTGTCAAAGTTATAAATTAATAATAATATGCTAATATGGTTAAACTTATAGGGTACTAAAAAGATCGTCTACAAGCACAGTTGGACTACAAATTAGCATTTTAACATTGTTTAATGAATTACACGTACAACTCAATCGGAGTGGTTGTCAGTACACTAATCTTCGACATTGTAGTGCCATAACTCTCAGTTTCAAAATAAATTATCACAAATTACGTATTAACATACTGAATAACAATTGAGCATACCCCATCATCAATAAGAAGTTATGCAACCACACCATTAACTATTGAGAGGCGACTAATAAAGTTTACTTTAAAGAATGTTGCATCATATGTAAGGACTCTAAACACTTCCAATTTCAACTGCTCCAATGAGATGTTAATTGAAACATTAAGAGGATGATTACGCCCTCCGTAATATGTGGGATAAAATTGATTATCAATAATGAGTTGACCATCATACACTAACATCAACATAGCAATGGTTGTGTTTATCATGTAATGCTAGCATAATTAAGTTTTGTCATAATACCTAATATACCTAATATGCTTTTACAAAATGCATGTTCTGAATTTATTATCAGTGAATTCATGAAAACTTATTTGATCGGTCTTAAAACAATTTGAATCAAAATTATTATAGTTATTGATAATCAACTAATTAATTTCAAACTTTTTAAGTAGATATACATTATTAATTCAAGAAAATACATTCAAACTAAACTATCATACCTAACTAAAACAAACTAACATCTTACTATCTAATATGTCCTGAAACATGCATGGTGGTGAAAAGATATGGAGTTTAGTGTCCAAGCTTTATATGAAGATCTGATACACAAATAAACAAGAGAGATGCGTGCAAGAGTTATAAGAGACAACTAAATTTTTACGTGAAAACTCTGAAAAGTGAAAAAATCATGGGATTTGACCTAGTTAAAATGATTATATTAATTTTTATTATTCATTACGAATGAGACCCTACATTAGGGGGGAGGTATTGGCTTAATGTAGTTAATATACATCATATATAGTACATTATATAGTGGGAGGTGTAAAAATCTAGTGATATGAGAGTCATTTTTAAGTGAGCGTTGTTTGTTTATTTGGTCAGTAGGATCGTAATCCGACGATGATCGACGACCATGCAAAGGTCCGACGGTGGTCTTTGGAAGTTCACCAACGACGGTGCTTGGGTAGAACTGTAGGATCCTTGAAGCTCAAAGCTATCTCTCTCCAATCTCTAGCAAATAATAGTCCCTTCATGAAGAGAACATGTGCTTATTTATAGATTTTTAAGAATGACATGTCCCGTAAATATGGAGAAGATTAATAGCTAATTTGAAGTGCTTCATCATACAACTAATACTAATTTCCTTGATTATAGAGCGTTCATCAAGCATGAATGTGTCATAATGATGTCAAAATTAAACGATATTTGGCTCGTTGGATTTGTCTCGTCGAGCAAGTCGATTTGATTATAAATCTGCTAAAATTGGAGTTCAGATGATCCTGCATTTAATTTCAAAAATTCCCAACTTAACTATGCCTTAAAATACATGCTTGATTAAGACATTTTTTAGTGGCCATTTGGACTTACATCATGCAACTTTGATGTCATTCCAATCTTCACATATAAACATTCATTTTTAATTTCCCAAAAAAAAAAAAAAAACATTCATTTTTACTATAAAATAGGTTAAAAATAGAGTTTAGACTTTAGATGGCCATAAAGGCTTTCTTAAAATTTTTTTATTAAAAATATTGTGATAAAATCTGCAGTTATACGAATGGATTTTCGTGTAATGTATCAAAATTAATTGATTATTTATATTTAGTATATAATACTATTAAAATTTTGGAATTATATAATTAAATAAATTATATGATATTTAAATTAATTTAATATTTATTTTATATTAAATTAAATTATTTAAAAATATTATATTTAATTCCTCTTTAGCCAGTCTCTTCATTTCCCGCGCAATTCCTCGTTTTCTCTTTCAATTTTGCAGGCAAACTCCAACGGAAATTTCTCAGCAGCGAAGAACGTTGAATCGCCGTTCATTGGTCATCAAGATTCGTAAAAATAATGCAATTGATCTTTTCCCAAAGAATTTTTTTTTTCACGCTAAAAACCTCCCCTCGTCTTCCACGCTATGAAGGGTTTAAGCAGAGTTTTCGACCAAGTTACAAGCCTTCGCCTTTCCGATTCTTGCTTTCTCCTACAAAAGTTGAAGATGGGTGTTGTAGAGCTCATCTTCTTCCTCTTTTTTCTATATCCAGTTGGTCTTACAGGTATTACAAATCAGCCAAAAATTTCCATGCAACACTTTCTTCCTCCCCCTTCGTCACTTCCTCCTGTACATGTTTACATGTGTATAAGCTCTCTCTCTTTTCCCTGTTTTAGCTGCAGGTCAAGAAGAAAAGGTTCATGCTTTACATTTCCACTTCCATAATCCTGACCAATCTTCTTCCATTGGAGTTTCTGTTAACGATACTGACATTCCTATAATATCTTCCACTATTTTAGCCGCAGAGAACTGGCTAAAGAGCCATGTTTTGGCTCATTTCCCATCGACAAACATCACTGTAATTCTGCTCGGTAGAAACATTCTCTGCAGCCCAGGTCATGAGCATGAGCGGAGCTTGATCCTTCCTTCTATGAAAAACCTGTACCATTCTCTAACAAGATGGGGTCTTCAGGAAGAGATCAAGGTCTCTACGGCGTTCTCCTCCGATTGCTTGGATCCCCTCAATTTCTACCACAGGTTTCGAGGCGTTGACAACCGGATCACTCTTATACATCTTCTAGGGTTTCTTAAGAAGAATAATCTGCCTTATATTATCGACTCATCTCCCTATTTATCCCCTTTGTTTTTGTACTCTTCTCACCGTGCTGCACTGGAAAGGCTTGGGCTTTCTGGGATTAGAGACATTAGAGTTTTAACAGCAATGAAACCCATTACCAGAAAGCTGTATTCTTACAGCTCGGCCTATTTCCCTCAAAAACCAAAGGGGTTAACACCCTCTCAATTCGCTCCTGTGCCTGATAGTTCATTGTCCTTCTCTCCATATTCATCTCCAGATGAAATCCCTACAAACCCACCCGAGGCCGTTGGAGTTCCAACGCCGGGCTGTTTGCCTGTGGCTGCTCCGGTGCCAGGGGAGGCGGAAGAGAGCAATGGAGGTTTGTGGTGTGTTGCAAAGCCGACGGTTCCAGCTGAGAAGCTCCAGGAGGCTATAAACTATGCCTGTGGAGAGGGCGGGGTTGACTGTGAAGAGATTAAGCCTAATGGGATGTGTTATTTTCCTGATAATGTGATTGCTCATGCTTCATATGCTTTCAATAGTTATTGGCAGTTGAAGAAACAGATGGGAGGAAGCTGCAGTTTTGATGGAACTGCCATACTGATAAATTCTGACCCAAGTATTTTTCTTATGTCTTCTTATTACCTTACTGGCCTAGTTGTTCTTACAGCTGCTATGAGCTATTTTGGCATTGGCATTTCTATCTTTTAAAGCATTTTTAGAAGACCCTAAGTATCTTTGCAACAAATGTTCTGTTTTTTTGGTACAAAACAATCCAAATTTTGATGATGATCGTCATAAGAGGGGGAGGTTTTCTCAATGTATATGACATCAGTAAAAGGAAAAATTATTATGTGCAGACACGGGACGGGGAGAACCGTCCGGTTTGTCTCTCTGCACTTTTTATGTTCATACTATGCTTTTTCTGTTCACAGAGACAATCAAACGGTTTTCACTGTCCGATATCCACATAGAATAATCTCTCTAGTAAAAATAATTATACAGGAAAACTAGAGTTAAGCCAGGTTCCAACATGTTATAGGTTACTAGTCTATAAATACCATCAAAGATCTATTTCTAGTTGACGTGTATGAATCATTCGATCTCAATTGAATTAGTTGACATGTATGAATCATTTGTTCTCAATTGAATAATTTGCTATAATAATATGATAGGGTGAGTGAATCATAGGGTGTTAAAGTTGAATCATTTATACTTCTATGAGAAAAAGATCAAATTGTTCCGCTTATTTTTTTCTGTAAGGATCAAAATAGTCGTCAATTACATAAAAATAATAATATGGTTCATTGACTCTTTAAATATGAATCAAATTAGTACTTTCGTGTGATTGTGATCATATTTAGGCTCCTATTTAAAAAGAGTCGATGATCATTTTGATTCTTATTTCATACTTGTAATATATGTTTTCCCAAAACAAATAACTTTTAAAATATAATTGGTAATGGAAAAATGCAAAAGAAAATGAATATTTTCAAACATAGCAATCATACATTAGAACTCTTAATTAATTTTCCTTTTCAAGCAAAGATGCACCTTACTATTCATTCTCTCATTTCTCTAGCAATTCCAATGCAAACCATGTTGTCTTCTTACTATACTTATGAGATGAAGTGTGGTTTCTGTAGGTTTTCTCCAATGCAAATTTGTGCAGGGTTGAGGAGTTGATAATAGCAGCACAGGTTGCAATCACAGGCTTCTTTCAACTCAAAGTAGGTGTTTCCTTCTCCCTTTTTCTCGTATTGTTTTCTGTAAGAACTCCACCACTTAAGGTTATTCTTTTTTATTAATAGAAAGCTTCTCATCTTAGATTTTGTTTGAGATGACTTTATAACTGATTCTTAAAAAATTACTTTAAGAAACAGTAAGAACACCATCCTAAATGAAGCCTTAATTTATTTTTGGTTTAGAGTTTATGAAATATTAGGAAGATATTTATAATGATTTTGAGTGTAAAGTAAATTTTTTTATGAAGATAATTATATGCAATGTATATGGATATAAAAATAATGGTTTTGTTTTTATATTTAAAATTAGTAGAATTGGATCCAATAGAGAAAATGATTCATGTAGTTGATCCCACGTATTGGGATCAAGACTAGATGCCTTTTGATGACTTGATTTAACATAATGGATGTGTTAGATTCGCCTGTGTTAAGAAAGATAGAAATAGACCTAAAAATATTTGGTTAGAAAGCATTAGAAAGGGTTTTTTTTTTATTATATTTAAATGAGAATTTTACTCTTAATAAGATATTATCAGCAGAATTCAAGTATGATGGTTGAAGTGGAGGAATGCATCAGGCTTGTTGTGTGATAGAAATGTCCCTCTCAAACTTAGAGAAAAATTTTATAAGATGGTGGTGAGACCTGTAATGCTTTATGGCGCCGAATGTTGGCCATTAAAAGAGAAGCATGATACTAAGTTAAGTGTTGCAGAGATGAGGATGCTCATGTGAATGAGTGGCTTTACCCTTAGAGACATGATACGAAATGAGCATATATGTGAAAAAGTTGGACTACCTCTAGTGGAAGATAAGTTTAGGGAGAGTCGCCTTAGATGGTTTGGTCACATAAAATGACGGGCTTCCGATGACACAGTTAGAAAAGTAGATGTATTAGATTTAACTTATGCTAAGAAATGTAGAGGAAACCTAATGGTTAGAAAATATTAGAAACTATCTTTCTTTATTAGATTTAAACGAGAATTTGACTTTTAACAGGACACAATGGAGAAAAATGATGCATGTAGCCGACCCCACATAGTGGGACAAAGGGGTCATGTTGTTGTTGTAGGATACAAGAAAGAAGAGGGATTTATGTAGTTGAACAAATATAGTGGAATAAAAATTTGATGTTGTTGTTATAGTTATATTTAAAATAAGCAGAAATAAAATTATTTTTAAATCTTATTTCTATTTTCCAACAGGTAATAAAAAATTTCTCATAATATTTTACATGTTTTTAAAATTTATTATTTTTTATTTAAAAAATTGAGTGTTTTTATTATAAGAAATGGATCAAAATAGATTTAAAATTTTTTGAATTTATTTTAATTAAAAATTTGAAATTTAATTAAACTTTTGCTTAGAATATTATGGCCCAAATTTTGTCATTTTTTTTAAATTAAGATTTCATTTGTGATAGCTTTCTTACTATTTTTTTTAAAGCAAATTTTTACTATAAATTTTTTTTAAACTAAAATTTTTTGTAATTGAAAGCTGATTTTGAAAACAATAAAAAAGCTGCCCACAGAAAGCTGAAGATGCTTTAAACATGAATGAAAAAAAAAAAAATAAATCCTAAATATGAGAAATGAAATAAAAACTGAGAAAAAATAGTAAAAAAGTGCACCATGATTATGCAAAATTAACTGAATAATCTTGTTTGGTATATGACCATTAGAATGAAAGGGCAAAGTTGTCATTTTACACTATTCGTTTAATAATTTTCTTCATATTTAATATTTTTCTAAATGTTTGGATATTATTCAGCTTAAATATGTTAAAAACTATTATTAGCCTTCATCACTGAAATCAACCTTAAATTACTGAATTTACGTTTTTACCCTTTTGCAGGTTTTCCGTCTTTCAAGGCGTTTTGTTAGTTTGGAAATAATGGATAAGGATATTCTAAAAAAAAATTAGGTCATTATAAAATTAAAAATTTTAAATCAATTTTAGGATGAATATAATAAATAAATAATAAATTCATTTAATATTATATTCATCTTAAAATAAATTTAAAATTTTATAAATTTATTTTAATCAAATTTCTTGAGAATATTATTATCCAAATATTTCCTTTTTGTTAATTAGCATCTGCCGTTGGATATTTAATTTTAAACATTTCGGTTGAATCAATATATTTTCTGAATTTCATATATTTTTTTAACTTTATATTATAAAGATCAAATATGTTATAACATAGAAAGAAATGCAATTTTTTGACATGAAATATAGCATAAATAAATAAATAATTTGTGATATTGTATTGTAGATAAAATAAATAAAATTTCTATATATGTTGTATTAATGCACAAGGAAATAGGGGTATTGGTGAGTAAAGTTAATTAACGAGCTTGTTTAAGCTTAGCTTGATAAATGACTTGTGCGTTGAGCTCTATCGATGGAGGAATTATTAAACCTTGGGCTTCATTTTTACTTAAAAGATATAAAATTTGTATAAAACTAGCATAAATTATTTTTATTTATAAAAAAATAAATTATTATTTTAGTAAGAAAATAAAATTATTTTCCATTTACAAAGAAACACCAAATTATAGAAAAATTTACACAAATGTACCTAAAATGATAATTTTGCCCCTCTCCGCCCTCTCACGATAAGGAACTTTTATTACGTCCTCTGACCGGACATAAATCTACGTTCGGTCAAAGGATTGTTACTCGATTTTTGCTCGGTATTTGGTCGTTGTTGATAGGTATTGTTTGATAATAACGAGAAATATCACTATGGGAAGATCAATACCGAGACATACCGAGCAATACTGAGTATTACCAAAAAATACCGAGTTTTTCTAGAAAAAACTCGATATTTTTTGGTATTACTAGGTATTGCTCGGTATTGTTTGGTATTACTTGGTATAGAAAAACTTGGTATTGCTCGGTATTGTTTGGTATTACTCGGTATTTTGTCTTCACATAATGATATTTCTCGTTATTATTGATATTGCTCGGTATTTGCTCGGTATTGCACGTTTTGTGCCTGCATCTTAGTGTTGGCCAAACACAGTTCTATGTAGGTTCACCGTACCAAATAAAAGTTCCACGATAAAAGGCTGCGACGAAGAAAACTGCGGGACCGGCGGGCATCAAAACATCATTCAAATTCCAGGTTTCAACGCTCCTTCCGCCCCCTCTTTTCTCTCTCTCATACAGTGCAGAGTTCTGACACAATTTTTTCTCCAAATTACGCTTTAAATGCCCTAATTCGTCTACTTCTCGCCGAAAATTAATCCTCTAATCTCTCTCTTCCGCTGCTATGAGCGGAGCTCCTCCTTCCGGTAGTGGGAGGGAACTCGCTAACCCTCCATCCGACGGCATCTCGAACCTCCGCTTCTCAAATCACAGTGACCATCTCCTTGTTTCGTCCTGGGACAAGGTAATTTCTTCTTGCTTTTGTACGAAGCCTGATTGCGAAATGCCTCGGGATGGTGGTTTTAGGGTTTTTTTTTTGCTCTTCTGAGCAGAGTGTTCGTCTCTACGATGCAAGTGCGAACGTGCTCAAGGGCGAGTTCATGCACGGCGGCCCCGTTCTTGACTGCTGCTTCCACGATGATTCCTCTGGTTTCAGTGCGAGTGCAGATTTCACTGTCCGGAGGTAAGAGGGGTTCAGGGGATTTTCTACTAGAGCTTGCCGGTCCTCATCAATCTGTATATCATTGTATTTTGGGGTTTAGGTTTCTTTGTCCGTGTCAATGATATAGGGCATTTTAATATTCTTAGCATGTTTCTTGTTGACTTATCTAAACGGAATTTCTTGAAGTTGTAATGCTGTTTATGTTTTTGTTGAAGTGGCTGGCCGAGCCTCAAAACTTTGCTGCTGTGTTATACCTAAACTTAAATGAGTAATCTGCTCCGCTTATATCACTATCCTAACATGCTTGTTTTTGGTAGCAGTATAATGCATTAGTACATCTTGAAAGATTTGGAGTTCAAGCTGAAATATGATCCAGTGCATTGACGAAACTTAAATAATTGTTTCATTCCTTTTGTTTTTAACCTTAAAGAATGACACTGATGAAGGCTTTCCTTTCATGTTCTCCATCTAACATTTTTTTTTTTTTTTTGGTTTAGAACTCTTTTAATTTTTAAATTGCCAGCAAGAAATGCGTATAAGATGAAAAATATTTTATTTGCTCTTATGTTGAGAATTTGAGCCATAAGAAGGTGCAACAACTAAGAAAAATGCTCATTAGAGTCGGTCATTGCAGTATGCATTGAACAAGATGAATACTTAATAGTTATTAAAATTATCTTCTGTAGTAATATACGCGTATTCTCACTATTAATTGGTATTTATTTTCTATCTCAATCACATGAATATTATCTTGAATGATTCTTGCTGTAATATATTCAGTTTATTGGTCAATGAACATGTTTTGCTGCATGAGATTTCATTTTAGGGTTTTTTCCTTTCTTGAAATTAAGAGGCGGACATTAGAATTATTTGGTATTATCTTAGATTATTTTTTCCCATGTGTAAATTTTTAAAGTTCATAAAGCTTTCCTATTTATTCTCGTGCATTATTATTAAATTGTATAGTGATTGTAATTCTCTTTGCATCATGCTTCAAGAGTGCTCACACAGTTCTGTTGTTGGGTTCTATAGAAAACGTATTCCGGGAAAATTTCAAGAAAGTTTTGTGTTTACTATTTTTCCAAAAATGAAATCCCATGCAATGCATGGGGAATATGAAAATACTGTATGTATACTAAATTTAGATATTAAATTTTCTAAAATAATTAAAAAATTATTTTTTATTCATCATTATATGAAGTTCCATTTTCATTGCAATGCAAATGGTGGTAATGAATAATCTAATTTAGAATAGTAAAATTGATCAATTATATAATTACGATAATATGGCTTTTGCTTTCTTTCATGAATTCACTCATTTAACTATCATCTTTCTAAAGAACTATGATGCACGGACACGACGACACAGACACGGGACACGTCAGTTATTGAAAATATAGGACACAGACATGAGTTGGACACGGTATTATAGTTTTTATATTTAAAAAATAGTGTATAAAAATTAAATAAGTATATTTTTAAAAATAATTTGAAAATAATAAGTCATTTAATTTGAAATTGTGCTTATAATGATTAATATTAGGATGTCGAGAGTCAAACGTCGATGCCGTTTATCAGTTACTAAGATAGGAGATGAAAATACCTTCACTGCCAAAAAGAAATGAGAATATTTGATGATTTGGTATTAAGTGCGGATGTTAATTTGGTGTTGTGGATAGGAAATAATAAATTTAGTTTAAATCTAGCAAAATACAAGAAATTATAATTAAAAATATTTTTTAATTGGACACGTTTTCGGCGTGTCCGACACGTGTCGAAGGAGTGTCGGGCGAGTGTCGTGTCGGACACGGTGTCGGACATTCCACGCTTCTTTAAGGTGAAGTGTCGGTGCATCATATCTAAAGAAGAGAAAGTGATAAAAAATGATATACTGACTCTTTATGAAAGACCAAAATAGTCCCCAATTATATTAAAGGATCATTTTTGGCTACAAGTCTTTAAAAAGGAATCAAAATAGTCTCATGATGGGATTATTTAGTTTGTTTTTCTAAACTTCATACCTTAATAATTTGATTTTTTTCATATTGGATTCATTCCCAGCTCATGCATGTAGCATCCTTAGTAACTTAAATCAACACTATTCGTCTGATTTTTCTTATTTTTGATGTTTGGATTAGTTCACAGGCAGAATATTAGTATCCTATTTAGTATTTTTTTTGCAAAAGTTGGTCTTATGAACCATTTTCTTTTTCATTTCTCCACTATTGATTTTGTCCCAAATTTTCTCCTGCATCTCTTAAAATTTTATATGCTTAAAAATTTGATTTTTGTCACTACCACTTAGAAGAATTAAACAAAGGTCTTTTTCTAACAATTCTTTCCTTATAAAATAGGTATGTCTTTAGCTCAGGCAAAGAAGATATTTTGGGACGGCATGATGCTCCAGTACGTTGTGTTGAATACTCCTATGCTGCAGGTTGGTGATGGCTACATTTCTTTTGTATCCATGTAATACTCATAGTTTGCCTATTCGTAGCTTTTTGTCTTCCCAAATTTTCTAAAATGCAAAACTTCATAAGTCATGCACAATAGAATATTTCTTGTTTTCTCATCACTCATTCAACATTTTCATTTACCTATTTCAGTGACACTATAATTACTTAATTAATTTTGCAATTGCTCATGGATTAAATTTTTTTCCTCGAATAGATGTCTGGTTATATAACTTTTTTTTTGTTTCATCCATTCTGACCAAGAATTTCTTTTATTTAATTGGCAATTGACAAGTTTTGTTCAATTTTGAAGACGTTCACACTAATCTGGTTCTAGATTTTATTTTGCATTGATATGTGTACAAATACTCTGTTTCATACCAGCTCAGTCTATCAGGTTGATTATATGTATGCTTGGCATGATTGCCGTAAATAAAGACATTCAATGCTGCTGCATGCAAGGACATAGTATTGATAGACGTTTTGTAAGGCTTTTCGGGAATGTTATGTTACAAATATATTCTTTTCATCTGCTTTATTTATTTGCTACTTTGTATGTTGTTAATGTCAAATTAAAGTATTGCCTGAATTTTAGAATGCCCAGTTATGCAAGGTTTTATTTTCATCATGCATTTTTATTTACAAATTCATTAATGTTTCAGGTCAAGTTATTACCGGCAGTTGGGACAAAACATTGAAATGCTGGGATCCAAGAGGTGCAAGTGGGCCAGAACACACTCTTGTTGGAACATACCCCCAACCTGAACGGGTGTATTCTCTTTCTTTAGTTGGCCATCGCCTTGTAGTAGCAACTGCAGGGAGACACGTAAATGTCTATGATTTAAGAAATATGTCTCAACCTGAACAGCGAAGAGAGTCATCCTTGAAATATCAAACTAGATGTGTGCGATGCTATCCTAATGGTACAGGTAAAGTTCTTTCTATGATTAGATTTCTCGGCATAATTAGCTTGTAGCTTAGGAACATTATGTGCTTTACCTAAGATAGATGCTTAACTTTAACCTAAGTAATGTTTAATGACCGAAGACTATGTTTTATAATGCAACTATTATGATACTCATGACGCTTTATAGAGAATTCATCGATCATAAGTTACCAATTACATCAACAACTCATTTTCTTTATTTGCAAATAAGTGATAGGGGAGCTTAAATATAATTGGCATTAAAATGCCTGTAAATATTGATAATTTCAGCAAACAACTTTGGAACAAATGAAATCAATGAGCAAAGAAATTAGTTTTCACAAAATTAAACTTTCTTACCAAAATCAAAATCATTAAATAAACAATAACAAATAAGAAGAAATGGACAAGAAAGCATTTTCTTAAGGAAACAAATCTAAGCCTCTTGCAAGTATAAGGAGATGATTTCTCTTGTAATTACGTAGTTGCATTTCTATTACATTCGAAGGATATGTATAAATAACTAACACTTGTGAGATCATATTGAAGCATATAAATTTTATTCTAGCCAAAATTTCCCAATTACATGCTGCTGACCATTGCTTATAAACTCCTCATAACCTGAGCTAGTAGATATAACCCAAGATCAACTTCTGTTGAAATTTAAATTTGTTTCACTGGACAAAAATATTACCAACTTGATTTTAATATCTCCGAACTCAGCCAAATCAACACTACCATGCAAGCTCCCGAACTATGCCATTGGAAAAGAATTTAATTATATTTGTTTATTAATTCGCATGGGTGTAGATCAGGGAAATCAAAATTGTGTTTGATATACCACTGATAATTCAATTCCTAATATACTAGTAGTGAGTCTTGCCCCTTAGCTTAAACTTTTGGATTGAGGGGTGTTTATTTACCCCTTACTGCCCTTAGCTTAAGCTGTTGGACTCAACTTAGGTTCTTGATGTTCCCCCATGTAGCAATTTAAAAGTAATATGCATTTAATATCCATCTAATTTCTTTTTTACATTTAAATTTTGTGCTGGCATAAAAATTCTTACTTCTGAGGTATTATGTTCTCTATCTTGCTACCTTATTCAGGTTTTGCTCTTAGTTCCGTGGAGGGTCGAGTTGCTATGGAATTCTTTGACTTGTCTGAGGCAAGCCAATCTAAGAAGTATGGTTATCTTCTTAATCTATTTCAAGCGGTAGCAGTTTTAACCTTGAATGTATATTTGTATGTCAATTGCATCTTGCCTTGTTTTATTTGTCTTTAGGGTCTACACTTGTTTTGTTAGTATTTTTTTATCTGGAAGATGTTTGCTTTCTTATTTGGTTTGCGTCTTTCTTTCTTTTCTTTGAAAAGCTTGAAATATTTGGATCATGGTTCAGTTCTTCTCAGCGAATTGTAATACATTTGCATTGTTAAAGGGAAATACTGTTTTTTAAGATAATACTAGTTTGCTAATTTGCTGGAACATGTTCTATGAGTTTTGTAGCATAAGCTTATATTATGTATCCTGTAATCGTCTTGGAGGATGAATGTAATGAACAGCTTCAAAGCTCCATATAATTTCTTCTCTTTCTACTTATATTAGTGACAACATGATTTGATTTTCAGGTATGCATTTAAGTGTCATCGAAAATCAGAGGCTGGAAGGGACACTGTATACCCTGTTAATGCTATTGCATTCCATCCCATGTAACCTCTTCATCTGCCCTTCTTTGAATAATACTTTTACAATGTTCAAAGGACGAACTGCTTGTCCATTAACTTCTTTGTTTTTTCTGCAGATATGGGACCTTTGCCACTGGAGGTTGTGATGGTTATGTCAATGTCTGGGATGGAAACAACAAGAAGAGGCTATATCAGGTAATTTATATCCCCAGTGCTCCTAGAAACTAATCTCAACTGTTGTAACTACAGCCCATTGTTCTTATGTCTTTCTTCAGTACTCGAAGTACCCAAGTAGCATAGCAGCATTATCCTTTAGCAAAGATGGCCGTCTGTTGGCCGTTGCATCCAGTTACACTTTTGAAGAGGGAGATATACCGTAAGCTAAGAAATAATGCTTATGATTTCTAATTTAACCTCTCATAATTTGCACCATGCAGTTTAACAATATATTTTTTAATATCTGTAGTCACGAACAAGATGCTATTTATCTTCGGAATATTAATGAAGTTGAAGTCAAGCCAAAGCCTAAAGCAATTCCTGCTGCTGCTCCGCTATGATTGAACACTCTTGAGAAGAAAAGGTCAGCGACAGGTGGAATTCCTTATTTTTAGATGTTTAGCTTCATTTTAAGTTGCATTGAAGCATCTTTTTATGGAATTAACCAATTTTTTTATTTCTAAAAGTTAATGGAGAGCGGATCACGGGGTATATTAATTTTAGTTGGATATGATAGTTTCTATACAATTAGCCTGCACAAACTACTTTGTGGATTAAATGGTTCACTCGTTTTGAAGATTCAAACATTTATAGCTTAAGGATTTGCTATTTGGTATGTTTTCTTTCAATTCTTCTATATTTTAGTGGAATCTACAATGACACAATACATCATGTGTCAATTTAATATCAAAACAACAATTCTATCACCCATTCACTCTTTCACTTAATTTGAGTAATTTCCTATTATTTTGTTAGTATTTTCATTAAATTTCTATATTTTTTCAGTTGCTACATTTGGGTCCTGTAATTTTCTTCCCTCTTGTACCTTTTTGTTCTTCGTGTGAATTTTTCTCTTCAATGTAGTTTTCATGAGCTCTCCCTCTTTAATCTTCCATGAAGCAATAGACATCAATATGCATTTTTGTACAATCACTCTCTACTTGCCCCATCCCCTCTTTTCTCCCTTTTCCACTTCATCTTTTAAATTTATCTACTATCTCTTCCATACCATTTATATTTGAAATTAAACTTATATTTCATATTTAATTCAGATATTCAACCCTTTTCCTAAAATTCCTCACAAAAAGTAGTCAATTCCATCCAATTTAATCCTAATTAAACCCTCTTAATCAAATCTCATCCAAGTTTCGCATGATTCTCTTTACATAAACAAAGGCTATCCCTTTGGCACTCCCATCAATTTTGTCAGAAATAAAGCCAATTCAAAACAACAATGCATGGAGAGAAAAAAAAAGAAAATAAATAGGGAGATAAAAGAAGGACAAGAAAGGCTTTTTTCTTTAAAATTGTTGATATTGAAGATATGATAATTGATAGGAATTCGATCTCCACACAGTCAAAAAACAACAATAACGAAGAGAAAATACATTAGAAATCAACGAGAAAGAATGAGATTATTATGGGTGGGTTAATTTTATTAATATCAAGATACATATTAATCTACTATTCGAGAGGTAGATTGACTTTCCGCAAACCCCATCAGCCACTAGGAGCAACTCCAAAGAAAATTACTCCAAAATACAAAATCTCATAGCGAAAATAAAACAGCGTAATTAATCCTATATAAACCTTCCTAACTCCCTCACAAATTTGAATTCAAATCAGCAATCTTTCCCTAAATAAAAATTCATAATTCTTTCCCAAATATGAATTCAAATCAACCCTCTTTCCCTAAATAAATCTTTCTAATTCCCTCACAATTTTGGTTTTCTATGGTAAGTAATTAAATGCAGAATTAATCCCCTTTGAGCCCCCCTCTCTCCTTACCCGCCACCCACACTAGTTGGGCTCATAAGGCTCTTCCGCTCGCTAGCTAGACCGACTCCCTTGTTGGGGTTGGGTTGACTAGCTGGATCGACTTAACTGTTCCATCAATACTCCCCTTCCAATTAGCCGTCTTATCCTCAAAGTGGAATGAAAGAAACTGCTGCTAAATCATTGGATACTATTCCCATGTTGCTTCATAGTCAGACAGATTCTTCCACTCAATCAGCACTTCTCTAGCTCCTCTAGTTGTCAAACAAACTCCTCTCACTTTCATTGGCTCTAGGATCACCTCCATTTCTTTTGTCAAGGCCATCAGCAGCGTCGTTGATGGAATGTGGTTGCCAATAACTTTCCTTAGCTGGGACACATGGAATATTGATTGTATGGCAAAAGTAAGGGGTAGCGACAAACGATACGTGACGACACCAATCCTCTCCACAGCCTCATAAGGCATATAGTATTGTGGAGACAACTTTTTCATTTTTTGAGCTAAGGTCTTCTTTCTGTCGGGTCGAATATTAAAATACACCTTATCATCCACCTCGAACTGCATATCCCTTCTATGCTCGTCAATTCACTTCTTCATAATTTGTTATGCCCTCAGTAGGTGCCCCTTTAGCCCTCCCAATATCCTATCCCGTTCCTCCAACTATTATTCTGCTGATGAAACTAGAGTGCTCTTGGTCTCGTAGTATACCAGGTGAGAAGGGTCTCTTCCATAAAGAATTTTAAAGGATGTAGTCGGTGCTACACTATGGTAGGATGTATTGTACCAATATTCGGCCCAAAGTAACCACTTCCCTTATGTTTTGGATGTTTATGATACAAAAGATCTCAAGTAAGTCTCCACACTCCTGTTCACCACATCGGTCTTCCCATCAGTCTATGGATGGTATGTTGTACTGCTCTTCAAAATAGTCCCCTACATCCTGAATAGCCCTCTCCAGAAGTAGCTCAAGAACACCTTGCTCTATCTAACACTATGGACTCTGGAATTCCATGTAGGCGTACCACCTCTCTAACAATTGTTGTTGCCACTGAAACCATAATGTATGGGTGTCGTCAGGAAATAAAGTTAGCATACTTGCTCTGCCTATTCACTATCATCAAAATTTTCGAAAAGCCCTCGCTTTTTGACAGACCTTTAATAAAATATATGGTTATCTCTTCCCACATCTTCTCGGGCAGGGCTAGAGGTTGTAGAAATCCTCTTGGAGTTATTGCCATATATTTGTGCCTCTAACAGGTATCGTAGTTGGCGAGCATCTCCTCCACATTGTTTTGCATTCCAACCCAATATAATTCTACTGTCAGCCTACGATAGGTCTTATGTACCCCAGAGTGCCCTCGTATGGCACAATCGTGAAACTCTTAGTAGTAAGTGGGATACGTATGAGGACGCCCTTGGTATAATAGTCTCTGATCGATTGAGCTATAGCTAGGATGGTTGTCCTTCTCTAATAAATCTCTCATGATTTTCTCCAATTATTCATTTTGCTAACTTTTCGTCTCAATGCCTCCTACTCCACAACTATGGGAACATATGGTGCCATCATGTGGGGCTCCCCATTATTACGTCCTCTGACCGGACGTAGAGGTACGTTCGGCCGCCAATAACATGTCGCCACGTGCTCTTACTCTTTACCGCGTGGCCCGACGACTTGACCCGGAGCGGAACCCGGGAATGCTATGTTCGCGATTTTCTCGGTATTGCTCGATATTTGCTCGGTATTGCTTTGCAAAAACAAGAAATACCGCTCTGTGAAGACCAAAACTATACAAATACTGAGTTGTACCGAGTTTTTCTACAACTCGGTACAACTCGGTATTTGCTCAGGATTTGCTCGGTATTGCTAGGGATTTGATCGGTATTGCTAGGTATTTGCTAGAAAAAACTTGGTACAACTCCGTACAACTCAGTATTTGCTAAGGATTTGCTCGGTATTGCTAAGGATTTGCTCGGTATTGCTAGGTATTTGCTCGGTATTGCTAGAAAAAACTATGTTCAACTCGGTATTTGCTAGGTATTTGAAATATATCCAAAAGGTGGATTTAAAAAAACGCACGCGCTAGAACCCAAAAAATAGCGGGTCGGGTCGGCGACTTTTCTTCATGCTACGTGTCGCTAAAATATTGGTGGCCGAACGTAGAGGAGCGTACGTTCACCGGACCAAATAAAAGTTCCCCCCATACACCTAGATAACCCATATGCGGCCTTGTTCTCTATCCTGGTCGATATTAGATCTTAAAATCATAACCCAATAGTTTCAAAAGTCACCTTTAATGCTCCTCTGTAACCATCCTTTGCTCTAGAAGAAACTTTAAGATTCTTTGATCAATCCTGATAATGAAGTGTCGCCTCAACAGGTAGGGTCTCTATTTCTAGACGGCTAGCACTATCACCATCTGCTTCCTCTCGTAGACTAACTTGAGCCTCACCCTGGCAGTCAACATCTATTTGAAATAAGCCACTGGTCTCTAGTCCTGCATGAGTATAGCTCATAGCCCATACTTCGAAGCATCCATCTCCACCACAAAAGGCTGGCTTAAGTCGGGCAGGACTAACATTGGCATGTTGATCATAACCTTCTTCAACTCTTCAAAGGCCTTGGTAGCTGCTTTGCCCCTTGAAATTATCCTTCTTTAGTCGTTTAGTCAAATGCTAGGCTGTTGAACTGTATCCCTTTATGAACTTTCTGTAGTAGCTTGTAAGCTCAAAGAACCCTTTCAATTTTGTCAAGCTCTTGGGTATTGGCCACTTTAGCATGGCCTCGATTTTTCTTTGGTCAACTGGTACTCCTTCCCGTTATACTATGTGCCCCAAATACTCCACTCTAGACTGAGCGAATGAGCACTTCTTCAGATTGACAAACAAGTGGTGGTCATACGTAGCAGATAACACCAATGCCAAGTGTTCTAAGTGGACCTCCTTAGTCAAGCTGTAAATCAAAATATTATTAAAGAAGACTGACACAAACCTTCATAGATATGGTTGGAATATCATGTTCATTAGGGATTAGAAAGTAGCTGGAGCATTAGTGAGGCCAAAAGGCATCACTAAATACTCCTAGTGTCCCTCATGAGTCCTAAATGTTGTCTTGGGAACATCCTTGGGCCTCATTTATATCTAATGGGATAAACTTCAGATTAATATTCTAGAAAAGCATCACTTCATAAAGCTCATCCAGCAACTCATCAATCACTGGTATAGGACACATGTTTGACACAGTCTCCTTGTTCAACTCCCGATAGTCCACGCAAAATCTCTAACCGCCTTCTTTCTTTTTTCACTAATAACACTAAACTGGAAAATGGACTGACACTTATTCAAATGATCCTTGCCTCCAGTATTTCCCTGATCAAATCTCTCGAACTCATCCTTCTAGATTTGGGGATAACGGCACAGATGAACACTTATACGGAAGACTCTTTCCTACAAGATGATAGCATGTTTATGTTCCCGTGGAGGCAACCCCTGAACTAGTTAGAACATCTCTCGTAACTGCTGGAGGAGTGGTTGAATCAATTTTGGTGCTTCTATCTCCTCCCTATCCTATTATCCTTTCAAACTCTGCAGCTCCACGAAA